ATAAAATGATTTATTACGATATTAAAGATTCATTGTACTCGTGTAGATTAACTTTTCCAACTCTCCTTTATCTTAATGGAATAACTTGGATCTTGCACAATTTTTGACACATTTCTTTTTACAAAATTTCCCCTTCATAATTTTTAAAATATCTTCGCACGTGACAGTTAGGAAGAAGAGGGATTATTTCCTTGTTACGAAATGGGATCACGAAATTTTAACTTGCCTTTATATCGAATCCAAACATAGGAGCGAGTGTACGAATAATTAAACGCTGCCAAGGATGATTCCTCGTCGCGCTTGTTAATTATTTCCAGCAGATACATCAACGGGGAAAAAAGCGGCGTCTTCGCGTGCGTTACACATTTCCCGATTGCGCAACGAGAATTGGCCGTCAACGAGTTGCGAGTTCAAACAACGGGGTCACAGTTAAACGCACGAAAAATTCCACGCGTATTATTCCCCTTTCCTGTCATGCACGATTCACAAAGCGATTCGTTTCGATTTCCATAATTTAAACACGAATCGCACGAAGGAAAGTTTTTTTACGATCCCGAGTAAGTTTCACTGTGATTCGGATGTCTAATAAAAAGAAAGAAAAAAAAAGGGAAAAATTTCACTCACTATCTCGATCGCGAACTGGGATCACGATTCCAGGCATTCTCATCGTCGAGAACACATGTAGGCCTCGTGGAAATACATAATTTCAAATGCTTAGAAGAATCTCCAAGATTCTTTTCTACGATCGTATCAAATGTAAGAATCTCCATTGCGAGCGTCACCTCCTCTATCCTCCTGCTGTCATCCTCGTAGATCTTCGAAGATCGAGCAATACAATTACTTTGTTAATCGACTTTGAAATCACCTCGCCTCGGGAAAGGAGATGGGATAATCTCCAATCTCTGTGTGTTTCTTTTTTTTCTTTTTTTTTTTTTTGCTCCAGTTTTATTTAGAACACGCGTAGACTTATTGAGTAACACGATCGACCCACGTATTCGCTCCAATTTCTACCGGGTTTCGACCGGGTAAATGACGACGGAGCCGCGCACCGTGACCTCGACAATGCCTTTCGCCGTCGATCGGACGTGGCGCGCCAGTTCGATCGGTGACATAAGAAAACCGACTCAGGAAAGTAATCCTGAGTCAAACTCAAACCATTGTCTCTTGAGGATAATAAAATGTTGTTGAGGGAAATAATCAATTGGTCATCGTTAAAAAATGACATGTGTTAACGGGATCGTCAACATAATAATTCCGCCCCTCCTCCATTTTCCATTTTCCTCGAGATTCGATACGAAAACGAACGAAACAATGAAAGAAGGATTCTCTGTTATATATAAATCTTCGAGTCGAACGTTGAAAACGTACGATAGGAACGCAGTTTTTCAACAGCCATTTCTAGCCGATAAATGACTAAGAAGAAAGGCTGGACTCGAGAATTCCCTGGCCCCGGGGCACAGATACGCGAAGACAAATGGGAAAATCCAAGCATTAACGCAACATCTTATCGCAGAATTTCACGGTGAACGTTATTAATCACGTAACCACAGCCACGAGTCGTTCGAACAAGCTCAATAAGCGTGAACCAGTGTCGCGTAAATCAGCTTCGGCCGAATCGAAACTCTCGCTTTCGAAAATTTTATCGAACTCTTTTCTTTCGCCTCTTTCTTTCTTCCCTCTCCCCCCTCTCTCTCTCTCTCTCTGAGATAATACGATGAACGAGCAGAACGTTGTCCGCATTTGCACGGTCACGTTCGCGAATCGGCATTCAGAGCGGTAAAACACCGGTCTCCGCAGCGGCGAATATGGCTTCATTGCGCATCTTTGCGCGAAACTCGATTCTCGGCGAGGGCAATTCGCTCCGACCGATGAGTTCCAGCGAATGGTAATCGATTTCTTTTTTTTTCTTTTCTTTTCTTTTCTTTTCTTTTCTTTTCTTTTTTTTTAGCCGACCGTGATCGGGCCAAAAAGCGAAGCGATCGCGTAACGTGTTCGTGGCGGATTCGCGAGATAATAGAGGAGGAATTGGATGGAATTCGAACGGCAACCGAGATCGGCCGGCCATCCATGAAAATAAGGTTCTTACGAAAGGTTCTCTTGTTCCGTACGAAAGAGGGTGAATTCCATCGAAGTGCAGAAGAGAGCGAATGGTTTGTCCAATCATCGACACTCCGACAGGTGAATCCACAGGTTTATCAGCGTCATCGTTCCGTTCCAAGTAACGCTTGAATCGACGATTTTGTCGGGAAGCCGACCAGGAGGGAAAGTTGTTTCGGTGATTTTTTTTGCGACCGGTCTGAATCGAGGGAAAAAGTGATATGTTTATTCTTTTTCTCCCCACGTCCACGGGATTATGGATCTTCTTTTCTGCCATGCTGTGCAAATTATCTCTTTTGAGAATAGATTTTTCTTTCTTTCTTTTTTTAAGACCAACTGTCTTAAAAAAATATTTTATTAATGAAACGTCAAATTAAAACGTATCATCTTTCTTATTTTCTTCATAAAAGATATTTCATAAGAGAAATTCTTTCGTTTAAAATCGTTCTTAAAAGAAGATAGAATATCCCGTTATATCTATTAAAGAGAAACCATTAATGATAATCCATTTTTAACGAACATTAATCTTAGAAAAAATACCGGTTCCAAGAAGAGAAGAAAATAATGCGAATCACTCGATCGATTCTTCCATTCTCGCGACGATGCTTTACTGATTTTGCTGATTAATAATTTCAATTGCCCATTATTCGCACACATTATAATCCCTAGATAGAACGAACTTACGCAATGTCAGCAGATGGCCGATTCGTTGATAAAAATAGATACCTGCGTTACGTTCAGAGACGATGACGATGGCGAGGAGCTCGGCACCACCAAAGGATCCGCTCCCTCCCGACAGTCGCTCGTATCCTTTTTTCCTTTTTCCTACCATCCTCTCTCGCCGCGTTTTCCAAAACTGCTCACTCACTCGCATCGTCCCAGCCATCACTCGCGACCCGTTTTCGCCGCTTAATCATCATCATCGTCCCAGGATCCTTTTTGCGCATCTCGACGTCGATTTCGATGTCGTCGCCGCTGCCGGTGAAAGCACGCACTCCGCGCCGCGAAACCGGATCCAACATAACTTCTCTTATATACTTGTCACAGAAAGTGTCTTGCTCGAATTCACTGGGATACTCCGCTTGACCATTACCCGCCTAAGGGCGATCGATAGCCGATCTATATGCATCTTGGAATTACCCTCGATAATTTCCTCCTTTCTTATATTCTCGTCGAATGCAAGTAATTTCCTTTCCTCGTGAAACCTCCTCCTCTCGAGGCTTGAAGGAGAATTCAAGGAATTCGTACACGCGTATTAGTAGAGATATAATTCTTGAATTGCAACGGAGATGTATTCGAGATCGCGGGAGAGATTCAAGGTCAGCAGAGGAGGTTAGATGACGGTAGCTAAGGAACGATTCGATTCGATCGGGTAGAGGAGGATGTACCCAGTGACGCGAGTAATCGAATGAGAAACGAGTCGAGAATAAAAAAAAAATGCGCAACGATACCCTTATTCGATCGTTATCGACTTTTACCCACGTGCGCTTTCGAAACTCGGTGCAACGCGGTGCAATGGCGAAACCGGAAATGGCACCGTGGTTCAATGGTACGAAAAGTAAAGCGATGCGTTCGATCGCCAAATACGTACGCAGGGCGTGGATTGGGCGAAAAAAGTGCGATGGACTGGGGGGGTTAACGGGGGCAAACGGGGGAAATGCGAGAATTTGTTTTAACGCGCGTATAAAAAAAAAAAAAAAAAGGCAACGCGTTACGCCCAGGTAGTCGCATAATTTCTGATCGGTTGGCGCGCACACCTCGCGCATCATCCTTGACACCATCTGCCTAAAGGATGTGCTAAAGGTCGAAACTATCTATGCGTTCTGACATAACATGCATCCGATAGAACGAATAGAAAAATGTTTCCACCGAAAAATTTTTCATTCTTCCTTTTTTTTTTTTATTCTTATTTTTTCCCTCTTTCTTTCTCTCTCTCTTTTAAATATTATAATTTGCGTAAATTTCGTGAATAAAGGATGTCAAGTATAAACCGGGGCCAAGTGTAAACCGATCGATCGTGTCTCGATTTCCGACCGATGCATCGAATGTATCGAATTCTCGAAATCGAAGGTGAAGGAAATCGAGATGAAAGTGATGCAGCGTTGGAACGTTACACTTTTTACGCGGAAGATAAAGAAGCGTTCTCGGCATCCTCCTCTCCAAGGATCCGACAATCGATTCAAGGCCGGCGCGGAAAGTCGGCAAACTCAAGATGGAAAACGATGGATCGATCTCGAATCTCGAATCGAGAAGAATATCGTTATCAACGGACGAAGCAACGAAGAGGCTTACGGGCAAAAGATCGTCCATTTTGGAGAACAGCGAGAACGTTAATTATATATATTCTTCGAGCCCGTTCTTCGAACAAAGACGCAACGACTATCGAACTAGCCTGGACAGACACTCGCGAATATTCCACACTCGAGAATAACCTTGACTCTAGAAGAGGACAAAGGATACGGGAGCTACGATCTATCTTGTCCCTCGTGATAACGCGTATTGATCCCTACTTTATCAACTTGTTTCAAAATTACTTTCGATGGAGAATGAAAGGAAGGAAGGAAGAAAGAAAAAAGAAAAGCTTGGTGATAATAAAGGGATCAAACGGGGGGAATAACGGAGAGGAGAGGAGAAACTATAACCGGATAATGTCCGGCGAATGGTAGGCGAGTGGTGGCGATCTCCTTACGTTCGCCAAGATCGAAAAGAGAAGGAAAAAGAAGGATCCGAGGAGAACACGACACGAGAGAGTTGTAATGGTGAGTGAGTAAACGAGAGAACGAGCATAACTAATCCAGGATGGAATCGTTAAATTCGAACCAAGGATCGGCGGAACGATCACGAATCCTCGACATCCAGACGATCACCCCGACGTGGTGGACCACCGGTGCGGCACAACTTACCCGTCCCCATGGCTGACAGCAGCCTCCTTCAGCCACGATCCTTCCGTGTAGTATCCGTGAATGTCCAATGTTGGCTTGTTTCACTGGCCGGTCCACGATTACGAGATGATGATGGTAATAATAATAATAATAATAATAATAATAGTAAAAAAAAAAAAAGAAAGAAATAACAATAAAATAACAACAGCGATAAATAAATAAATAGAACCACCTGTCGGTGATCGGATTTCGTGAAAAGGACGAACTCCTCGTCCAGCCGGGAGACCGCGGACGAACTAGTGGCTGGCGAAGACTTTTGGTGAGACTTCGACGTGAGACAACGACGACGTCATCACCGGGCTGGTGTCTCATTGGCCGACGGTCCTTCTCTTCGCTCGACCGGCCTCTCTCTTTTCACGAGCCTCCCTCCTCTCCTTTTCCTTCTACGAACTCCTCTCTCGCCTCTCTCTCTTCTCCTCCCTCTTCCACCTTATTCTACCTCGCCCCTCTCTCACCTGCACTCTCTTCCTCTCCTCTCTGTCTCTCGCCTGGATCAACCCGATCGTTCTTACCTGTTCCAAAGCACTCACACAGTCCCGCCAGAGGAGCCGACACAACTAATATAGAAGTTTACGTAGAGCTAGCTCTGCTCGACGCGCGAACTCGAAGAGCTCCGCGTCTGGAACCAATCTCTCTAGCGCGCTCGCTTCACCGTGTACACCAAACCCTCCACAATGTGTATGTGTATGTATATATATATATAGGAGAGAGAGGGGGGCTCTGGCTTGGCATCTCGACGGGGACGGATCATGATCCTCCGAGCTTGAGCTCGATCAGGGAGGGAAAACACCGAAACACCGATCCCTAGGAATTTCGCGGGGAACAACTCGGTTGCCGTTACGTTCCTCAAGGTTGATCACGTAATCGGATACGCGGAGGAAAGGTTATACACGATATAACGAAAATGCGTGCAATCTTCTCGCGATTTATAACGATTGAACGATATAATCCTCGATCGATATATTTACGATCACGGTAGTAGATAGAAGATAAAGATAAGAAGATAAGAAGATAAAGATAGAAGAATCGAATATGCACAGTGGGACGAAGGTGGCATCTCCGAAAAAACCTCGTCCTCTCCTTCGATCGCGTGGAATAACACGCCTTCTCGCCTTAAAATAGTCGCGGTTCAAACAACCTTGACGACGTTGGCCGATTCGATGGCCGCCTCGGGCATAAGCTGCCCCGAGTGAACCGTTTCACCGATGCATAATTCATCGGGAGAAGGCGTGAAAGACGGGCGAGCGTATTTTTCCCCCGGATTTGCACGAGATTCCTTCCGAGAGATCCAGCGCGTCCACCGGTTTATCTTCCGGTCGCGAGATCGCGAATCAAACGGAGGAGGGGAGGGGAGGGGACGACGACACGACGAACGAGGAGACGTGTACCAATGACGCTCGTTTCTAAGCCGGCATCCCTCTATGAATCGACACGGCAGGCCGTAGATTAAGCGTAATGGTGCAAAGTATAGGAGGCGCACGTCCGTGGATTCTTCTTCTTCTTCTTCTTCTTCTTCTTCTTCTTCTTCTTCTTCTTCTTCTTCTCCTTCTTCTTCTCCGTGGCCTCCGCCTGTGCGAAATGCCTCGAGGCGGCGGGGTTCACCGACACCGGTGTACTCTCTAGCCGGGGTACACGATGTCATTAGACGTCGCGCGAAACGCGATGTGTAACCAGGCTTCGTCGTAGGTCTCGTTCGACGACACCGCACGTGATTTCACGGAACGGGCCGTGAACGGCGAGCACGGAACCGGGAGAAAAAGTGTTTCCTCGTCTCTTAACGAGGATAAAAACGCGCATCCAAAGGATTTTAATCTATCCACTAAGAGAATGATGATTGGAAGAGGAAGCACGATTTAATATCTTTGAGGGCGAGATATATACGAGGTCTCGTCTTTGAATTTTAATCAATCGGCAACGATTTCAGGCAGGAAATGATACGTAAGATCATCTATCTATGTATTTAAAGGCTTTTTATATTCATTTCTTTTTTGTTTCTCTTTCAATCGAGAATACTTTTTAATATTTGCAGACACGCGTATCCTTGTATTTTCCCTCTCCTACAAATTTTCTCTTTTTCTCCAACGAATATATCATACGTTGAAAATATAATTAAAATCCGATTGAAACTTGAGAAAGAGAGAGAGAGAGAGAGAGATTAATTTTATAATTCGAAGAATTCAATATCGCCTTCCGATGTAATTAATGCACAAAATTCGACGTATCACGTCGAAACGTATGTCGTCGTTCATAGAAAAACGATGAAGAAAAGTGGGAAGGAGCGGTCGCCTCGAACAACGGATCCATCCGCTCCACCAATAATTACTCCGCAAATATTTGCGGACGTTTGCCACCATCCGACCGACGAAATACCAGATGAGATTTTTCTCCTCTCAAGATATCCTTGAACCGATTCAATCCCCGGTTTTTTAATCCATCCTGCCTCCTCCGGCGATGTAGCGCGCCTATATCCGTATATAATACAGGTTGTATTAACCGTTGTGCTCCATGAACTGGCAGACGCACAGAGATCCCCGGATCCCATGAATTTTTCCTTCCGCGGATCGGAGCAACGATCCGTTCACGGCACGATGCAATCTTTTAAAGCATCGGGCAACGATCCATGAGATCCGGCCACGGGAGGGAGATCTCTGGGCTTCCGTGAATCCAGCCTACGCGATCCTTTCCACGATATCGACGTACCATCCTTTTTCCTTCGATTGAAAAAACCTGATAAAAGGACCTCTGCTCTCCCTCCCAGGGATCGCATTGTTCACGGTTGCCCGCTGGACACGAAACAACGTTGCGCAAGGTCAAGCGATTACGTTAAACCGCGAGTTCGCGGTTGCCTGCTGGACACCAAACATCCGTTTCGAGAGATTCTCTTTTTTTTTTTTTTTTTTTTCTCTATTCTTTTAATCGAACGAATCCTCGCGTTAATATGTATTATCTGCATAGGATAGAAAATTTTGTTCGAACGAAGGGATAAATTTTTGCCAAATTTTTTTGCGAAAAAGATAAGTATAGAAGTATTGGAAATCGTTCGAATCTCGGGCGTAGTGGTAGGGGATCGGGGATCTCGAGTTCATCGGGGCGTAGTGTAACGGGGATCCGTGGGGGCACGCGTTCATTTCGTATTCTTTTCGACGATGCCATCATCCGCCTGGCCAACTGTGGATAACTTGGACGCCAGGCCGGGGAACTGATCGGTTGCTCGATCAAATTTCAAAAGGTTGGCCGTCAAACCACCTTGTAATTAGTCCCCCCTCCTCCTCCTCCTCCTCCTTCTCTTCCTCTTCCTTCCTTCTCCTTGAATATCTCGTGCACATTTTCACGGACACGCTCACGGCACCCCGGGATGACGAGAATGAACGATGACACCGTTCCAAGACTTTATCCTCTTCCCGTAATAAATACCCGTTCCTCTTAAGATCCCTGTTCACTTGTTCGGTTAAACACAACTCCATCGGCGACGGAACCACCTCTTCCTCTTCCTCTCCTCTCTCCCTCGTAGAAATGAAACGTCTATCCTCCTAAATAAATTATTCCTCTCAATCCCCCACGTCTCGTATCGACGTGGATCAATCAACATTCCCTTTCCCACCACGTTACCTTACCTTCTTCTACCACGATTTCACGCTTTGTTATTGGTTCTTCCAGCGAAACGGACGTTAACGCATAGTAATGGCCAATCACATTCGCAAAAAAGGAGAAAGAGAAAAGAAAAAAGAAAAATCTATACGCATATTTCGATTTCATGGAAAAACACGGAATACCTGTCGTACAGGTTGCGCGGCATTCATCCCTCCGCTCCTCGACTTTGCGCGCGAGAGACGCGCTGCGGACGGGAGTGTATTCGTTTAAAATACCGGCCAATATATATATATATATGTATATATATATGTATATGTATGTAGGTATAGCCAGATGGTGGATGGTAATTGACCAATTTGCAAACGAGCCAGGCACGTGTCGACATGCGACGTGAATGATCGCCGTTCCATTGAATCATCGGCCGTTGTTACGTCACAATGCGATCGAGCACGAGCTTCGACGACGCTCGATAATTCGCTTTTCCGCGATAGGAAAAAATTGTTCGATCGATCGACTTCGAGAATCGACGAGTAATCGATAACGAGTTTCCAGTTTTCGCGACCGGCCGTCGCGTAAAACCGCGCGCGGTTGATTTATAGAGCTATAATCCGCAATCAGCGATTGAAATGAAGTAGCCAGTCGTGTCGTAGTTGATTCGTTCATTAATGAAAAACGAAGTGATTGGTAAATCGTCGGCTATTATTCTTTCCCTCGTGTTAATCTCGTTAGAAAATAATGATGATGATATTGCAGTGATATTGCTTGGCTCTGCGTGTAAGACATTTGCTTTAAATGTCAAGAATATGTCAATAGTATGACATAATTTCGATTAATGGGTATTTTTTTCGATGATAGTTTTTCCTCCTATTGTAAGATATTTATTTCCAGAAAATATTTATAGAAAATCATAATATCGATCGATACGATATTTCAATAAAGATATCAATTGGAACCAATTGAATTGATATTTTGCGAAGAAATATATTTATAGCAGAAGGAAAATAAATGTGTTTCATTTCTTGTATATTATTTAATATATAATATATATCACGAGGCATTATTATTTTGTTAGACAATCAAGATTCCATATTAAAGACTTTTGAATGAAATGAAATGTAAGTAAGTACTTTTTCAAATAAAGATAAAATTTCTTTGATGTAAGAAAAAATTAAATTCCCAATTAAATTGAAGGCCAAAATTTAAATCATTTAATTACATTAATTTTGGGAAAAAAGAATAATTTCCAAAAACTTTTTCTCCACTCTGAAAGAAGAAGAGATTCGAGGAACGTTTATTAAAATGGGAGCGCCGCGTCACGCGATTTTAAACATAATTAAAGAGACTTTTTCATCCGTTGCAAGTTTATTAAACGTGATCGAAGATTTCTTTACGCTAACATCAGTGTGGATGAAAAAGTAGAGCCCGAAGTCGAGCGAACGCATCGCCTTTGCCGGCATTGAAATCACCCAAGTTAATCGTCAGTCGGAAGCGAATAACCGACTGGAGGAACAATTAAACGCGTGAAAGTGCATTCAGCTCGAACATCTCTCGCATAGCGCAAGCTTTTATGATTATCTTTCTTAAGTCTGATGTACGAGAAATTTTCGAAGGTCGTTCCTTCATACGTTTCAATTAAATGCAACCGCGTCTTTATATCAGTGATGCATCGATTATCTAATATCGTAATAACCTTGATTATATAATTATTCGCCTCATATGAGATGAGGCATCCTTTTTGCCATCTATTACAGTTTTTCTTCCAACCAATCCACTGTGCTCGTCTCGCGAAAACGGAACTCTTCTATTCTTCATTAATGATCCCTCGCTAAACAATACACTGCAATTATACGCGGTACTATGTATGAAATTCAAGGCCATTCTTCCTGAATCCGCTCACGTGCCAATATCAAATAATCAGTAATAATCATGTATACGTACTCTTGGCTCTTTGATATTTTACATTTTCGATTAATTACATACAATGCAACCATTTGAAATATTGTAACTTATTCATTAACGAATCGCTATGAACACGTTTTTGAGATATAACGTTTGAATTTCATATGAACAGTTCCTTTCGAACACGAAGGAAAAAGTTTTCGAAAGTCTTGATATTTCACAGTCAGATGCGTTGCCACCAATCGTGTAGGTTGTCCCAATGTTCTTGCACGCGCATCCCACGCACTCACCTCCGTGTTTCGTACCAAATTGAGAATCGAGAAAAAGACAGCAGGAACCAGGATAAAATTTTGTTCGCAAGAAAATTCCATTCTATGGAATTATCCTGTATCTCATTTCCTTCCTTTATACATACCTGCGTTTAAAAGAGGATACATTAAAATTCGCAGAATATAAAACAAATGTGAATGCGTAGGATAATGGATATACAATTCAGAAAGATGAAGATTAAAAACCCAATCGTATTAAAAAAAAAAAAAAAATCTTCAAATAATTTAAATTCATCGTGATTACATTTGGCATTAATGTTTCATTCGAATTTCATTTACTAATTAAATCTTTCAAGATTTTTCTTAAATTAAACACGAAATTATTATTATCATTATTATTTTTGACGCTGAAATATATATCGTGAAATTTAACGGTATAAGGAAATGATATTCGTGATCATATGCAAATCGATGAGATTAGAACGTTATATAGCGTTGCAGATTCTAGGGATGCTCATTTTAAGGAGAATCGGAATGGAGATGGGCTGGAACAGGAATAGCAAGGGTGACGTAAGCACCCAATCTGCACACAGCTCGCACACCTGAATCGGGTTAGGTATTGGTGACTTCACCGACGCCAGTGTCGCGACACATCGGTTCAGTCACCACTGCAAATAACTAAAGAAATCGATGAGAAGCTGTTCCAGAACCGAGAATATTCGCGAAAAACCTGTGTCAAACAAATAAGAAATATTAATACTTTTCTCACAAATAGACGTTAGTCAATCGTCGATTTTATTAAGAAACCTATTTAACGTTTTTTACTTTTACAAAATATGGCGATCGTTTGGAGAGGAAATGAATTAAAAATTATTTAAATTCATTTATGCTGAAATAATTATTAAATTGTTTTATTTCCTTTCGCTTAATTCTCCATTCTTTCCTTTTTCTGTTTCGAGAACAATGTGATTGAACATTGTTTTGTCGATTGCTAAGTCTTAATTTCGATCATGCAGCAAATCACTTCGTATATTACATAGAAATTAAATTTAAAATCATAATGATGACCATGTAGAAATCTAAGATGCATGATATAGCAGATATTTATTTTCATTGTACAAGAGATGTTACATATTTTTATTTTTATGACCACGATTATTAATTAAGAATTTTTAAAATTCAAATATTGTCCACTTCAAAGATCCTTCAAATTTTCCTTGTTTTCATACTAAAAAAAGAAATTCATAAAAATTTATAAAAAATCATAAATTTTCAAAATAACAAAAATTGCACATAATTTGATCATGGATATTTTATTTTCGCATCCAATTTCAATGATCGATTCAAGGAGACTTGCTAATATAATATAGGCAACTACCGGATGTATCGATGGTAATTTATCCATCACTAAATGAATTTGTCCTTCGATGCTAATTCGTCTAGCGAAAGTTACGGAAGTAATCAAAGATGTATTAGAGATCGAATGATTGAAATGAATCTGTTCTTTATTCGAGATCAATGCACAATCTTTTGAATAATTTTTTATTATGTAAAATTTTTTGTGTAAAAAAATCAAATCGCAATGAATAATTTTTATTATATACAGATAAATAATACTCACGATTGCGTAGGTTAATATATGTAGGTAGTCTGGCCTTCAAAGTCCTTCGGTGGAAAAGTAGAAACCAGAATCATCGTATGCGTGGGCTTCCGGTAAGTGGGAGGACTGGATTAAAAACATCTCTCTATTCGCGTAACTGTACTTATGATTATCGAGAAAGTTATTACATTCCGCTGTCAAATTTTCATTGACTTTATATTCGATACTGATATATAAAAGACAAAAAGATTATATGAAAAATGTGGTTAGATATAATCTTAATACAGTTCATCATTTACAAAAAATGATGTATGTGGAATAAAAGTAAACTAAATATTAAATTTATATTAATTGCTTTTTTTTATTTATTCTTATTCAGTAACTTTAACTTTTTTCTGTTTGCGTTCTTCTTTGCGTTTTTGCTTCTCAGCGGTATCATGTAGCCGCCTCTTCTTACGAAGAAGCCATATTTCCTTGGCTCTTTCCTTGCGACCTTCCATCATACTCCTATATAAGTTTCGATGTTTCTTTTTAATCATACGTTCTCTTAATCGATATTCTTGTCTCTCCTGTCGTTTCTTTTCCCATGGATCTTCCTTTATCACTTCTCCAGTTTTAACTTTCATTTTCTGCAATTGTGTAAATAAAAAAAATGTGTAAATAATCGAAAAATTATAAAATTATATATATATATATATTTAAAAATAATTAACATTTTTTAATCGATTTCGTTGCTGTTCTTTCTCATCGATTGTTGTTTCTAAATCACCAGAAGATTCTCTTGCTTCAATTTTCTCTTCTGAATTTTTTATTAAATCTTTTTCCTGCACTTCATTTTCATTATTTTCTTTTTTATTTTCTTCTACTTCTTCTTCAGATTCATCTTCTTCTAATAAATAAAAAAATAATAAAACCAAAATTAATTTCTTTTTTTGATCCATTAATAATTATTATTTATATTTGTATAAATTATAATTGCACACCATTATTAAGTTTAAATTCAGGATCCATAAGAGCACGTTCCTCTGGTGGAATATATGTCTGATCATGCTGATTATTTGAGAATGGTGAAAGATGTGGCGGAAGTACACAACCTATTAAATATTTTTCTACAGGTAATAATTCTTTAGCATTTACTGAATCAAAAATCCACTGTGGTTGTACATAATATCTAGAAAAAAATATAAAAATATCAAATAATTAAATATCAAAAATATAATAATAAAGAAAAAGTATTACCTAGAAATATATTGTTTAGTCATATTAGGTCTGTCCACTATATGATGTGTTATTGTCTCATCATTTTCATCAAATGTTGCACCAACAAAGAGTAATTTATCCCAAGATACTTCAGCTCCAAAACAACGTAAAATAAAAACTAAAGGTTCTCTTGGTACTTCTCTATTCAAGAAAAATTTTAAACCTTTGAAAAGTGTTTTTAATTTTTTAACTTTTTCTGCTTCTATCCTAACCTCTTCCATATTTGTAGCATCACCTTCCTAAAATTGAATATAAACTAATATTTATGTCAAAAATAATAAAATATCAATTTAATTAATTCATACATTTGCAAATTTATCTATCTCCAATTCTTCATCTTCTACATTTTGTAATGTAGGATCCAGATTTACTAAAGGTACATTTAATGCTGCTATTCTTTCCGATACATATACTTCTTCATCAACAAGTATTTTTTCACTATTATCTACATATTAAACATTTATATTAATATAAAATTATTAAAAATTTATATACTTATTATTATTTCAGAAAAATCATCTTACCATTAGTAGTAAGTTTTGGAGGATAATATAAATTAAGACTATGATAAAGCCTATAATTAACAAAACCTAACATCACGATATAGAATTCTACAAATATAGACATAATTTTAAAGTCTACATCATTCTTTGCTTGAGGCTCAAAACTGAAGTGATGAGGTACAATCCAAGTTATTATTTGTCCCTTAATTTCTGCTTGATAATAATATCCTTTAATAGATACAAATACTTTACGTAAAGCTTTAGCAGCAATTATAGCATGTAAGAATTCAACTGTTAATCTTCTACATAATAATGATTGATCTCTTGGTATATGATTAAGGGATGGAAATGTACTAAACAAAAAACATAAAGTCAAACAATCATCTAGATCTCTAAGTGCATCAATAAATGTTGGATAACGTTCTTTAACAATGTGATCTAGCTTTAAAGTAGGATGATTATCTAAATATCTTTTCATATCTGAAAATTCCCTCAAAGCTCTTGCTCTTCCAACTTTTTTATTAAATATCTGAAAAAATATAATTTTTATAATATTTGTAGTTTTTAATATTATACATAATATTTACATATTAAAAATAATATGCTAATTAATTTAATATACTTTAAATTCTCTTAATTTCCATATTATTGGTTCATGCATCAAAAATTGAATATCTTTTTTATGATATAATATTTTGATAGCAGGGTCTCCTTTTTGCGCTCTTTTACGATTACGTGGTTCTCTTGGATATATTCCTTTCAATATACATAATCTGCGAAAATCAGTTAAAGTGAGCTGCAATTTTTTTAAAGCAGCTTTTCTTGTCATAAACTGTGCTCCTTCCCCAGACTGATACTATAAATTTAAATAAAAATTTTGATAATAGTATTTAAAATGATATCATATATATTATAAAATATAAATAATATATGTAATTCAAATCTCTCTTTATTTTATACACAAAAAATAACCTCAATTATAACTACAAATATAAATGATTTTAGTATAAATAGTATAAGTAATTCTAATAAATACCTTCTTTTTTCCTATTGCAACCATTTTACATCACGTTTTTACATAAAATATGAAATTACATAAATGTGTATAAAATAAATCACAATAATTAAATCCACGTGTAGAAAATAATAGAAAACGAGTTATTTATTAGAAACATAGCGCCATCTCATAGCAAATAAGAATTCTTAACCTTCATTTTGTACATCGAATTTAAAAAGCATATTATTTCTTACAAAAACAATATAATAATAATATATTTAAATAAATTCTAATCTCAATTTAGAAAATTTAAAAATATTATATAAATTTATTTATATTTAAGATATATAAGAATGTAAATATACGTATAAAATATATATATACTGATTCTTATCCTTCTTCTATTATTTGCTTTCCTTATCTATAGTTATTTTTGGCGCATAATACAAAATATAAGGATCGATATCGATAAATATCAATTAAATATATTTTTGAAGACTATAAAATCTTAATTTTTAATAATATATATAATATAATAATAAATAAATAATAATAAAAAATATATTATTTTCTTGACTTTATATTATAAATGTAATATATTTGTAATTTTATATTTAATTTTATTGAATGTTAATTCTATTTTGTATTGCGTCTATGTATTTATTATAATAATTCTAAAACATTTACGAAATATGATTACGATGTTTTCAATATTTATGATTAGATATTGAAAAACAAAAAATAATTAAATGTTTAAAAACAAGAAAAATATTAATTTTTTTTATTAATATATTTTATATTTTATTTTGTTGTATTTTTGATTGCGCACAGCACAAACAGATACGAAGTTATACATTAGCATATTATTTTAGCTTTTTTAATCCTCTTCATCTGAATCGCTTTCGTCATCACTTTCGTCCTCTAATTCTGGCATAGGAAAACGTAGTATAGCTGCTATTCCAGTAAGTTGATCTAATTCTATATACGATATTATTAAAATTATTATTATTATTAAAAATATCGAAATGTCTTAAAATATTGAAACTTGAATAATTGATTCAACTTACGTTCACCTGAGACATGCAAACTTGAAAATATTTTTACATCTCCACCAGAATCTTTTATACTTTCAACTAATTCAACATATTCCTTTCTCAAATTAATATCTTGGCATCTGCATGCAATTAATAAAATAATCATAAATATATGAGTTTAATCTATCAAATAAAAATAAGATATTATCATTACCTAAATAATTTATCTGAAATAAGTAGTGTTTCAATAGCTTGAGATCCATTAGCTTTCTCAATATGTTTCTTTCCATAAAAAGCTCTAGAAGGATCAGTCTGTAATATTGTATAAAATGTTTCTAGTGCTTTTACTTCACCTGATGCTTTCGTTTCCGAAATTCGCGATATTACTGCAGGTTCAGCTAAAATCTCTGTAAAAAAAATATATTACAAAAAATATATTATATTTACTTAAATTGAAAAATATAATATACCTTTCAAAGAGTGTTTAAAACCTGAACTAGAATGCACAAGTAAAAATTTTCCTTTATTTTCTAATATTATTTTATTATCTAATTTAATGGCCTGCTGAATCATATAATCCATAAATTGATCCTTGACAAATCCAGGACTTGCAAGAATAATACATTTTACAATATCAAAATTGATGTGTCTCAAAATTCCTTGCATTATGTTATCATAAAATCTTGTTAAACCCTAAAAATTTATTAAAATAATGAAATTAAAATATGAAATATTATTTAAAATTAATTTAATAATTTAATAAATTTTTAAAATAACCTTTTCGTGTTGTGAAACATTTCCTTTTCTTTTTCTAGGAATAACTTGGTCTATTTTTGCTCGAACTATTGTCATATTGGAAGTTATTAAGCAAATATGTGCTATACCTTCTTGCATTACAACAGCAGCAACATCTGCATTCTAAAATTAAGTATTTTATTTCATTAAATTTCATCAATTAATTGTTATTATTTTTATTTTAAATTTTACCTGTGTAGGATCACAAGCAGTATCAACTCTTTCCAAAGAAATAGAATCCCATTTAGTTTTTGTAATTGTAAATTTTCTATTTTGTTCTACATCCAGTGTATGATATGCTCCTGTCTATGAAGAATTATAAGTTGAATATATTATAACATAATTTAAATAAAATATATTTTTAATCATTTTAAATTAAAAAAATACCTTAACATATTTATTCTCTTCTACATTTCTACCTTTCAGTCTTAAAACACATGCTTGGGTATCAAAGTCAATACCTTCTACACATATAGTCAAAGTAGTTCTGACTCTATAACTATTAGAACTACCAGTTGCAGATTCCATTTGCACTTTTCTAAAAAAAATAATAATATTAAGTAAAATATTATGATTTATTATATGATTGATTATTATAATGATAATTAAAATTAATATTAAAATTAATTACCTAATAGTAGAACAAGTAACAAAATCTCCTTCACCAATAAGATTATATGCATGCCACATATCTTCTGTATTTTCTGGGACAAGAGACACACCCCTAATAATATATATTTTTTTTTAATTTTATTGTTTTTTTTCTTTATAATTTATTCAAAATAGCAAAAAACTTACCCTTCTCCATCTTTATCAACATTTTTAGACACAAGTTTCATTTTATACAGATTTTCGTATTTATTAAATCTAAAAATTTTTAATGTTAAATATTTTATTCTATCAGTTTTAAATAATTTATTTAAATATTAAAATCATTTTGAATAAATTTGATATAATTCTTATACTGATCTCGATTTTTTTGCAAATAATATTTTAAAATTTACTCAAAATGTTATATAATTAAAAACAAAAAAAAGGAATACAATATACTAAAATATTTTTATTTATAAATTATTTTTATAAATCATTTTACATATTGAAGTCAAAATGATATTTAGGTTAGATTGTACATATTGTCACAGTTTCATATGCAATTAATTTACGTAATTACCTTAAGAATAATTAACACAGATTTATATTTAAGAAAATCAGACATTCCATATTTTAAGTTTAATTAGAATAACATAAAATAAATTATGCCATAAGTTAAACATGATACTTTTCTGTCGATTAACAGTCACACTCATGACTTGATTAATGAATTTAGATTTCGTTTTAGAAACTAGATTTAAAAGAAAATTTTTAAATAGTATAAAAATAAAATTCTAAAAAATAACATAAAAAATATTATTAATTGAAAATTACTTCTACAGTTTTTAATTTTACTAATTTAATTTATTTATGAAAATTAAAATGGATTCGATAAAAATCTAATATGATTTGAATTAAAAATAATTTATAAATTTTATAATATAATAATATATTTTATTCAATAGTTACATAGTTAAATAATGAAAAATAATATGTTTCATAAATTATAACATATTTAATAACTTTTAATAAAATTATAAAAAGATAACATTTTATTTTAAATTACAATTAATTTTAAATTTATTTTAAAATAAAAGAGAAATAATATAATTTTATACAATATAATATAATTTTATACAAAAAAAGTATCTCAATTATTATATTATATTATTATATTACATATAACGAAGTTCACAAATTCGAATTCATTTTTCATTTAAATATTCAATACATCAATTTTTAAAAAATACTCCTTAAATGACATCAAACCAAAAATTATATATTAATTTAAAAATTATCTTATTTAAAATGTAAAAATTAAAAATATAAGTTCGGTTTAATAATATATAACTGTCAATGCCGGTAAAATAATAAAAAAAAATTCAAAATCATAAAAATGATTTTATTATGCATTATTTTTAAAATGTGTAGAATTAATTAATTATTTTAAGTAAATAATAATAAATAATCATTATAAGATAAGTATTTTAAATAATATTTTATAAATAATAAAAATTCGAAAATTTCATATTGAAAAATATTTATATTTAATTTCAGATAAATTAAGATTTTACAATATTGAAATTATACTATGAACAATTTGTACAACTTTCTTATACAATATTTGACAAAATAACATTTGTCTTCTAAGTTGCTTTATTATGAGAAGAGGAAGAGGAGAGATTTTGTATATATTGCATGCTATATATATAAAATCTATATAATTTATACAATATTTATACATTTATTTAAAGAGTTTTAATAATTTCTTTTTTTCTAATTGATTTTTTTCTTTGATTGCTGTAGAAAATGCTCGTAATTCCTTTTCAATTATATGTTGTAATGTGGGATCCAATTCAACAACTCTTGTTAGATCTTTAATCGCTTCTTCTTCATTCCAAACACCTATGTATGCTTTACCTCTTTTGTACAGTGCTTTTACATTATCTAAGAATGATAAATATATATTTATGATATATATATATGTATATATGATATATACTATGTCTATAATATATAATATATATAATGTACATAATATAAAGTAATATAAAATAATAAACCTGGATTATGTTTAAGAACTGTTGTACAATGTTCAATAACTGCATAATACTCTTCTTGAATTAATTTACATTGTGCATAATTTAAAAGTAATGGAGTTTTCAATTGATTTAAAGCTAACCATTCTTCTTCATTTGGTTTTTCTCTATAGATTATATATAAATAAAATATGTATAAAAGAAAAAATTAATAACCAATAAATTATAACAATATATGCATATATCATATACTAACCCAAGCATAAGTTGTTCTAATATACCAATACCTTTTGCATACATCTCACATGCAGCATTATAATTTTTTTCTTTAAATAATATATTTCCTTTTTCTTTTATATCTGGAATACTTTTTAATTTCTCATCTTCTGTCATTTGCCATACCTCTTTTTCATATTCATCAGGTAAAATGATTTTGATAAGCTCTAAAAAAATTAATATAATTTTTATATATCTAATAAATAAGAAATTAGTAACTTAATATTATAATTTATTAAATTAAAAATTAGTTATTTATTTAATTGAATTGATTACCAATTGTAAATTCTAAATCTTGAGGATATTTGATAAGTTCATTTAAATCATCATATCCAATTCCTTCATTTTGTAAAGTTACACCACAACAATGACTACGTTTTTTTGATTCTGGTTTTCCAACTTCTCTCAAAGTTTTAGACACAAATGGATATGCTGTAACTAGCTAAAACAATAAATACTATTAAAATATTGATTTTTAAATGCTATAATATTCTTTTAAAGTATTATAAACATACACTTTTATCAATTCTAAAGCAAGCCACTTCATTTAATGCCATTTTTTGTACAATAATTTCCCATACTTCAAGTTTAAATTTTTTTCCTAAAACAAGTTCCATTGGATTTCCCATTACTTTACTGTCATCTATTATTGTTCTCTGTGGATCACATTTTGTTGTTTTAAAATGAAAAAATACCTAAAGATTAAAATATAATTCTATTTATAATTATTAATATAAGTTAAAACTTATACTTAATTTAAACAGAATTAATTTAAAATATATGCATACTTTAGTTCCAGGTACAAAATTAATTATTTTTGTACCTGCATGAATTATAGTTTTCACTATATATTCCTTATTTTCCATTTTAACAGTAACAGTTGATAACAAAACAAAAAAGAAATAACCTAAAATAATTTACATTATAATTTCAGTATTATTAAGAAATGCATTATAATTACAATAATGTTACAAGTTATATGATTTTTCAATAAAATCAATTTATAAATTTTTAATAACCATAAACTATTTTTATATTACAGCTTTTTAATTAATTAATGTTATTTTCACTATACATTTAAAACTTTTTAATTGCAAATTTCTGTTTTAATCGAACCATTATTAAATTATTTATTACATTAATTTCATATATTTCTTTTTATAATTCTCTGCTTTTTGCCAAGTCAATAAATTGACGTAAAAATATAAAATTATGAACACATCATATCATAAGAGAAAGACGACATAAATGAGATTAATACATATACTATTATATATATAACTACTATATATATAATATATATAAGTATATATATATTATGTATGTATATATATATATATATATAATACGTAAGTATGTCTTCCAATGTGTTATATGTTAAAAAAGTAGACTTATCTTAGATAAAAGTGCTGTGTAATCCTCCTTTGATATCTGATATATTTAGAAAACGCACAGTAAAGTATTACATTAAATTTTAAATAATTTCATCAAAATTCGAAGTATAATATTTGTAAGAATTATATAATATTAAAGATTTCTTCTTCTTTCTAAATAAGTTTCCAAACGTTTATTTGATAATACAATAAATTATTAACAAATTTCTTATAAAATACATAAATAAATTAAAAACATAATAAAAATATATAATGTATCATTTTTAATTTTAAAAAAGGTAATAATTATATTATATATAAGTTATGACTTAACATAATTATACTCATATTTAATTTACATTTTAATTTAAAAAATTGATATTTTTATTTTATGAATTTTTTTCAGAAAAACTTAAAAACTCTTAAGTATATAAGAGAAATAATTCTTTACAAATTTTAAACATTATTAGTATTTTATCAGCCAGATGAATACAGTTGACAAAACTAGTGATTCTACTGAAAATATAAATGGACATAAAGTACATAGTAAGTTAATATTTTATTTACTGATATATTTTTATATTACAGCTTTTTAATTAATTACTATAAAATATTAATAATTTTCAGATGTGGAAGAAATTCAAATACCTGTACCATGGGGTTATTTAAGCGGTCAGTAAATATTGTAATTCATTTTAGTTGCAGTTATAAATATATATATGAAAAATTTTCTTTTATTAATAATATTATAATAATATTTACAAAATATCAAAGAATAATGATAATAAATTTAGGCAAATGGTGGGGACCAATGGATCAACAACCCATAGTAGCAATACATGGCTGGCAAGATAATGCTGGAACATTTGATAAATTAATTCCATTATTACCATCAAATGTAGCCATTCTAGCTATAGATTTGCCAGGTCATGGTCTATCTTCCCATCTTCCTAGTGGACAATTTTATTATGTATTTTGGGATGGGCTTGTTATACTACGTAGACTTGTTAAATATTATAACTGGAACAAGGTTAGCTAGCAAATAAAAGTTATACAACGATCATTTATTAATTTTAATTTTTTTTTTATATAAAAATTCAATTTTTTATTTTCATGTTTAATTTTTTGATAATATACATAAATATTTATATTGATATCATTTTGGATTTATTTATAATAAAAGAGTTGTTATATTATATATATTATATATAATTATATAATGACTAAATTCATATTATAAAAATTACTTGGAACAAGGTTGACTGTTATAGATTTATATAATTAATCATTATATGTATTCATATGTACAATACATGTATTGCAAATCATGTACTATCGTTGTATAACTATAGGTCATATATATATATATATATATATTTTCAAAATCATAATAAATTTCTATTGTTCAGCTACAACTTTGTTTCATATTAAAATTTTTATTTAAAAATGTTTTTTTAGGAAATATAAATTTTAGTATATTTATATATATTTAAAGTAATTATAAATCTAAAAATTATTCTATATCTTTCAATAATCATTACCTGCAGGCAAATGGTGGGGTCCTAAAGGGATCCAACCAATAGTGGCTCTGCATGGACGTCAAGATAATGCTGGCAGTTTTGACACTTTGATTCCTTTATTATGTGATGAGATTTCAGTACTTTGTTTGGATATGCCTGGTCATGGTTTATCTTCCCATTATCCAAAAAGTCAATACTATTATGTTTACTGGGATGGTATTATTCTACTTCGTAGAATTGTAAAATATTTCAAATGGAAGAAGGTTAGCGAGTGGATTAAGTATTACCACTCAATTTAGTTTAGTAGTTTAAATAACTATCATATCAATGAATCATAGAATCTATTAAACAAAAAATATTGTTTTATTATTATTATTATATAACAGTCAGCCTTGAAAGTATTTACTCCAATTTTGCATGATATAAAAAGTACATTTCATAAAATTAAAATTTATATCCATACATTATTTTATATTCATAATCATTTTGAATTAATATCAAGTATTCATAAATAATAATTTTCTATTTTTTCCAGTTTTTACATATTTTAATATATAATTAAATATGATTATCATAGGTCAAATTACTTGGACATTCCTTAGGAGGGGCAATATCATTTTTATATGCTGCATTTTATCCTGATGAAGTGGAATTCATGATAAGTTTAGATATTGCAAGTCCTAGTGTAAAAGATGTGACAAAAAATGTTGCTATACTTAGTGATAGTATTGACAAATTTTTAAAGTATGAATTGCTACAATCTGATAGTATTCCATCCTATAGTTATGATGAAGTGCTTAGCATTGTTGAAGATGCTTATAAAGGTTCCATAACTAGAGAAAGTGCCATAATATTAATGAAACGTGGTTTGCGACCTGCCAATGAATCCGAACGATACTATTTTTCACGTGATCCGCGATTAAAGGTAATATTTTATTCATTATGATATATAAATAATTACATATGAATTTATTATATTATATAATATATAACATTAATCTATAGTTTGTATCATCATAATAATCTGCAATTAGAATACCAACTGATAATCTATAATTCCATAAATTGTGATCTAAGAATACCAACTACAGATTAATATTAATTGATATTGATTTTATAATAATAAAACAACAATATAATAATATAACATATTTTATATATAATTTAATTTAGGTTTCTGCATTGGGTACAATATCTTTAGATATGGTACTTGTATATGCAACTCGGATAAAGTGTGCTTACCTTAATATTCGTGCTATACCTGGATTGAAACTTGATTATCCTGAATCTTATGATAAAGTTTTAGATCAAATAAAAATAGGTGCTAAAAAATTTGAATATCATAAAGTAGAGGGAACTCATCATGTACATTTAAATTATCCTGAAAAAATTGCACCTATAATTAACAGTTTTATAAGTACTTAATGATAAGCAAAGTTTAGATGTAAACTGATAGGGGTAAGATAGCAAGTGTTAAATTAGAAAAATTAGTTTTTTGCAAGTTATATTAAATGTATATAGAAATATTTAATTTAAACATATAATTATTTTAGTACATCTATACATTCTGTATGTATTGTGTACAAACAATGAAAATGTATTATGATATTACATTATCTTATGTACTTCCACAATACTTGTGCTTCAAATTATTGGATTTAATTTATTAATTATATTATAAACTATAATTTAAAAATTAAAAATCATTATTTTTTTAAAATAAAAAATAATATATTTTTTTAATTTAATTAAATTTTTTCATTTATATTATAATTTTTTCATATTTTTATAAAATAATATTAAGAAATGATTACATATCACAATTTTGAAAAAAGAGCATTCCAAAGATATAGTGTCATTACAGTATTCTACTAACTATAGATAAAATTACGATTTTTCCTTTTTCAGTTTGTTTAAAAATGAGTCATAACTTAAAAATATCTTAGAAGTAATAAATGATACTACTTACAAGGCCAATGAACGATGTTTTTATAAAATTTAATGGTACATATTATTTTAATGGATATTACATTTGGTAACCAACAACGATAATGCATTAATGTTTTACTAATGCAACACAGTTATATCAATGTGTATTTTATGCATAACTCGGCGATAAATGACTTCAAAGCGATACATGCTATCATTTCGTACTGCTTGTATTAACTTCTTTTTATAGTTTTACTAAAAAATATGATTGGTATTATATTCAAATATAATTTATTTAAAAAAAATCTAATTGTTTATGTTTGTATGTTTATTTATTGTAATAAATAGTTGCAATTAAAAATGTTTCATAAAATTTTCTATTTCATTTCTCTTTAAATTAAACTTAATTATATTTTTCGAATTATTAAAAATTGCGTTATCATGGAGATAAAATTACAAGAAAGATGCTATTCAAGAGATAAAAATGCTATTGATACAGATGTTTAGGCTATCTACAATATTTAAATCAAAAAATTTCAATGTCAATTTGTTTATTCAAATGGTGAAATAATATAGCCACATAGAAATATATAATTATATTAAGACTTTATTCGACACAGCTGTTTTATATCAGTTCTGATTAAATTTTTGTTCGATATAGAACGATTAAAAAATAGATTAATAAAAAATGTTTGTCTTATCAACAAACAGGTAAGTAAGATTTAAAATATTAATGTTTTAAAACATCTTATAAATTATAATTTTAAATAAGATGTATTTTAAAGAAATCATTATAAATGCTTTATTTTAAATTATGAAAAAATTTTATATACGATAATGACATATTTTTATATTTTTGTAAAAATACTTACAAATGAAATATAACGTGGAAGTATTATATAGCTTTTTGTCGAATTATTGGTTTAGGTCGTTATCAGGTAACTTCTGAAACGAACTTATCCTATCGTACATATACGTTCTACGTGTCAGTAATTACGAGCGATGATAATACCGTCACACGTAAAAAATGAACGTGAATATTTCATTTCTGCAGGTGAATAATATTCGTACTTGTTCGCGCGTTCTCTTTTTACATTTTTTTATATAAGAACTATTTGTCTATATTGTAGAATTCATAGTAATAGATCATCTTGCAATGTAAGTATATATCTCTTTTTTCAAAGTAAAATTACATAATTATAATGATAAAATATTTTATTCTAATATATTATTAAGTATTATAAATTCTTATAATAAAATTTAGTTTATATTTTTTATTTCATTAGTTTAATACAATCGGTTGAATTATCAGTTTGGTGCATCGATCCTAACGATCAACAAACTTTTCACTTGAAAGTTTGTTCGTTCGGCTCGAGTTATCAAATTGAATGGATGTACTTCATTTGCAACATGAAATCAACTTGTTATGAAGCAAAAATTTCATATATATTTCTGAAGATGTTTGCGATATTCCATTACACGTTGTTGTAATTCTCGATCAGTTGGTGTATATGCAGCGTAAGTTCGCAAACGTGCTTTTGCAAGTTCTAGATCCTAATTTAAAATTTTTTTTAATTTTGCATACATAATTTCTCATTATATTAAACATTAATTATGTAATAAAATATAAAAATATCTATTTTAATTTGCGAAATATTTATAAAAAATTTAATTTTTATATATGAATTAACTTTAGCAATAATAGCATACCTTTAAAAATTTTCTATTACGAATCAAAGATTCCTCTGAATTTATACGAAAAATAGGTGTTAAGAATTCTTGCAAGTGCTTTTTCTTTTGTGGTTTTTTTAAAGAAATATAATTATTATCGGACATTATCAATACGTTATTATTATAATCTTTATATTCACAATTCACTATTTTCTTCAAATTTAATTATTATTATTATAATTTTTAATTTTAAAATATTTTCATTTATTATGAATTAGAAAAATGTCTTCACGTATACACATGTGGTTGCATAAATGTGGTTTCTATAGAAACATAGGTATGGTAATATAATCGATATCCGCTGCCCGCATCAATAAATATCTAAACTATAACTAAACTAAACTAACATATAACAACTAAATATATATTTAAGGATAAGGAACTTTTGTTTATTACACTTTAAAGTAAATAAATTATATTTAACAAATTAATATTTATAATTTTAAATACGAATTTTTTTTTATATTTAAGAATGTATAGATAATATATCTGTGGCTCAATAATGTGTTATGATAAAAAAACAAAATTTCTTTTTTCTCTATTACCTATCTCCTCACTATATTTGATATTTTGTTTATTCTTCTATAGTTTGTGAAGTTGGCTATAAAAAAAAAATATTCAAATTTTAACTTTGTATGTGTGAATTTCAATAAAATTATAATACTTACAAGAATGTATATATGACTTGGTATTGATCTCTCTACCACTTCCAAAAGTCGCGTTTTACTTAATTTGTATTCATCTATATATGATTGTAATTAAACTTGATTAACATATAATTATTAAAAATACATTAATTAATAAAATTATTACCATCAGGAATTGTTAGTGATAATGTTGGAAGTTGTACAAAACCTGCCACCAATGGTCGTAAAATCCATTCAACTTTTCTTTCATTTTTTGGAAGTATATAAATATCAATCTAAAATTGAAAAATATAAATTAAATTAATGAAGTTTATTAGTTAAGTTATTATCATATTATAAATTTTTAATTTATAATTAAAATTTAATTTATAATTTTATTTACTTGTTTTTGTCCAGCAAACATAAAGGCATCACTAGCTTCCATAGTTAATCGTAACGTAATCATTTGATCAGAATGATTTTTTATGAAATACGATATTAGTAACGGCGTACGAACCCAACCATGAGCAGGTAATTTAGCTTCTAAACCAATTATTGCATCTTCAATTCCTAACGGAGATAAAGTAACACTACTACTAGTTTCTAATGCATTATCATCATTTGCACTAAAATAAAAAATATTAATATTAAATTATTTAATCATTTTAACAATTTTAATAATAAAAATAATATAATTTCGTTTACCGTTTCCATCTAATGGTATAAACACCTGTACTAATAGGTTGTTCACCACTCACTTTTGGCATCAAATAATATGCATCCGTACCTGTTTCATTTTCAGATAATGTAATACCCGCCAAAACAGATACTGATTGATCTTCACTTTCTCTTTCTATTGAATCTCCCTATAAATAATATATAATTATATATCATGAATAAAAAATAATAATTAATGAAGATATTATTTACCAATTCTATAGAAGTATTTATAATATATATAGGCCATGGAGAGATACAAGAAATATGAGGCATAATTATAAATGGTTCATAAATAAAACCTTTTGTTAATGGTTCAAAAAGTGATGTATAAAATAATGTTGATATTTCAAATGGTTTTGTAACTGACAATGAATATATTAATTCTTTAAATCCTTTAATTTGTTTAGATCTTGAATATTCTACCTGTTATAATAAAATTATATATATATATGCATTATTTTATTACATAAAAATTAAAGAGATTAATTAAAATAATATATACCTTTATATGTATATCTCGATCACCAATTTTGTGAGCTCTTAAATATACAGTTTGATGAGTAATGCAATTCTTTCCCAAATTATTAATAGATACCGATATTACCGATTGTTTATTATTCATTGTTAAGCTTAATTCCGCTATAATTTAATGAAATCATAATCATCAAATATGGTAAATATTTTTTTAATAATTACATACATACTTGATTGTTCATTTGTTCCATCAGATACAAGTAATACATTTAAAAATGCTGATGATATTTCTTCATTAGTAGTAATAGATATATTAATAGGGAGCCATTCTCCTAAAAGCGCTGGATTATTTGATTCTGCACTTATACTCAGACTAGATTCTTCCTGTTTTATTTCAGCACTGACTAGTGGTTGTATTGTTTCGAATTCTCCTCTACTATTATAAATATAAAATGTATCAGTTTTTTGCATAAAAATATACAATAAAAATATTTTATTTTAAATATACCGAAGTTGTTGTATTTCAGGATATAATCGGCTTAAAAAATTTGTTTCTCTCCCTAGAGCAGAAAATCTCAAAATAATACAGCAACTTTCATCATTACCCATGTACAATGAAATTGTAGTAATGCGCATTTCATTACTATCATTTTTTTGTGGAGCTTGAAATTGATGAAGAAATTTTTTCATTTCTTTCCCATGAAAAATAAGATTGCTATGTTTAGTATCATTAATAATAAATTCTTCATTATATCCTGGATTATTAATTGTTATTGATATTTTAGAAAATTCAATGATATTACTATATGAATTTCTAAACAAAATATAAATTTTATTAGAAGTTGTCTTTTTTTCATATATATTACAAAAATAATATAAGCTTATAAAATTACCTAATAATGACTTCCACACTAACCATAGAATTGACTGCATATTTTGGTTGCAAAAATCTTGCTTTAACTTCTATAAATGAACTCATGTTATTATCATCAATTGTAAAAACAATTGGTTCTGATTGATTAAGTTCGATTACCCATTTTTCTATTGCGGGATATTTCACATCATCGGGTAAATCAGAATCCGGAGTTGGTGATTTTTTCTATAATTTCATATTCTGTATAATTAATCAATTACAAATACTTATAAAATTAAGATGATATTGTATAAAATTACTCACATGAAGAATATTAATGATATTATTATAGATAGAAATTTTATAATCCTCCGAAAATGTAGTAGAAGGTCCCAAAGCTTCAAATGCCAAGGTGATGTAGTCTTGAATATTCGTGGAAAGATATGCCGCACGCAAAGCATTTTTTAAGATATTTGTGATTAAGACAGGCCACCGTTCACCGTGATATTCCCATAACATGTGCATCAATAATCTGGCCAATCAAATTTTATGATTTTGATGTTAAGTAATGAAATATGTCTAGATAAAAATAATGTTAGAGTCAAACTTTGGACTAATGAATAGTACAAAATTTTTTTGTACTATTTTTATTTTATAATAAATTTGTGTACATATATATTAATATTCTTTTGACTTACGTTAGAACTTTTCCATAATCTTTACAATTATAATATTCTTCAGCCATTTGTACAACTAAAACAATTATTATATATATTATTAAAGTTTATATATTATTTATTTTAATTAAATATATTTTACCTAATACTCTTCTCATTCGTGGACATCTATATACTTTAAATTGTGAAATTGCATTGCCCAATAAACCAATAATTATATTCTGAAAATATAATATAATAATTATATAGTATAATAATTAGAAAATATAGTAATTTTATATTAGAATTCTTATTTATATGAAATTAATAAAAATAAGTGAAAATTTTTAAATAAAAAAATCTTAAGTGAATTTATTCTTACTGAATGATTAACTGTATATTTTTCTTTATATTGCAAAGCCTGTATAGCAAGTACTTCTTTCATAGGATCTGCAGGTTCTGCACTTAATTTTCCAGGACGCCATGGTCGCTGTCCATAGAATTCAAGTTTTTCTTCTCCAGCTAATGGGTCAGGTTCTGGATAGCTATTTACATTCTAAAATAATATATATTTATAATAAAAATTTTATATAAAAATGTTATTTATTAAATATTTCAATCTATGTGTACCTGACAAAGTTCTTTGCAAGCTGCTTGCCTTAAACCTGCATGATGAGCTGCTGATTGAAAATAATATCCAGGATGCTGAGTTTGAACAGCAGGAAGTCCTTGTCGAATAGCATCATCAAATAATTCTGCAAATGTGGAAAATTGACTACACATCCAAGCATGATGTTCAAATATAAGTTCCTTTGGACCAGTCCATAATTTGAATCTGCATTACCAATTTAATGTTATTGTAAATAATATTAATATTATAATTATTATATACTTATTTTATTATGAAACTTATTATGAATATTTCTGACCTGTCAGTATGAAGTCTAAATTGTGATATAGCATCTTTAGGAACATTTAAATTGAACATTATTTTACATAATTTGTAATTTATAAAAGAAGCAATAGTTGTAATTTCCATTACATTTGTGTCTGTTATTTGTATTTCTAATAAGTGATTATATGCTTGAGTATAATGCCTATAAAATAAATTTTGTGCATTTTATTTATGCATTTTATTCAAATTTTTTTTAATTTTATTATACTTACTTTTGAGCTAAATTTTGATCTTGTTTCAATTCATTTAAAAATGCCATTTTAAATTGATGGCGTACAAATAAATGTTTATATGTATTTTTTTGCACAGTTTTATTAAGTTGATCTCTATGTCCTTTGACAATACGATATTCATGATGATAAAAGTTTTGTGCTAAATCATATAAAGCACTTTCCAATCTATAATATATATAAATATAATTATAATATAATCAAGAATTTACAATTTATTAATTACCTAGATATGTATCCTAATAAATGATTTCCATGTGGTAAAATATATAATAACTTTGGAGATAGTTCACATGCTCCACACACAGCTGTAGCACGTTCAGTTGCAATAGCATTTTCAGAACCTGGTGGAGGTTGTGTACATTGCTGTATAAGTACTACAGCTATTTTTGTAGTTCTTCCATCCAAAGCATTTCTAAAAGAATAGATAATAATAATAGATATATAATAAAAAATATTAATTATATTTCTTAATATATAATATTTATGATAATAATATATGATATATAAGAAATACCTAAGAGATTGTACTTTAGAAGCACATTCCATTTTTTTCTCATTCCATTGTGGATCATTCCAATCTAAATTATAAAATACAACAACTACAGCTGGAATTTCATTAAGATATTTGTTCATCCAATTACGTTTTAATATTCCTTTAGGTTTATAATATTCATATGAATTTCTCTAAAATATATTAATAATAATTAATTCAATAATAATATACATGAGTTATATTTTATGATTGTACAATAAAAAACCTTGGGTTTTACTGTAGGAAATTCATGAGTAGGAGTAAGTAATTTAAATTGTATAGCAGAACTTTCTAATCTTCGATTATTACTGAATGCATCCCAAATTGACCGATGTATAGGATTGGCAATATCTAAACCACTCAAACCAATAAGAGCTAATGGTTTAATAATTAATTCTGGTGATAATTCACACATAATTAAAGACTAACTGTAAAAAAAACAAAAATATAATAATTATTTAATCAATTTTATAAATATTAGAATTTTATATGAAAAAATATAAATCATATTAAATTATATTTTATATAAAGTAAATGCTTATATATATTTAAGCATACCCAACTATTTACACAATGAACTACATCGAGGAAAAAAACTATTGAGTTAAAACTTTGTGTAAAAAATACTTGTAATAAAAAATACTTATAATAGCGAAGTGATCTATGTATAATTTGACAGTTTAGGTTATGTATTATTTTTTTGATAATTTATATGTTCGTGATTACTAGTGCCATCTAGTATCATTATTGTAATGATTAATAAATTTGATACAAATATAATTAAATAATTGCACTACAAATATTTTACTGCTATCATACCATAGACACAGTATTTATATGTTTATACATACAAATAGCATACAAGCACAGATAAGATATAGAATAGATGTGACATTTTATAATTTCATAATTTCTCGTGATTTCACATATTCTGAACTATTCTGGAAAAACCGATGTTAAAAAAATAAGATTGTTTCTTATGTTCTTTGCAATTTATATTAGAAATAATTTATATTTAATTTGTGTTACATTTAATTAATTAAAATTTATTTTCTTTATGTTATTAAAGATTGAGAAACTCTAAAATCCCTAATACTTAAAGTTCAAAAATAGATCTATATTTTTTGTCTGGGATACTATTATCCAATAAAAAATAAAAAAATATAATCTTTATTTTTAATAATAATTAAAATTAATTAATACTTTTTGAGGTAAATATTAGTTTCCAAAATATTTTCACGAAATATAATTTTTATTATATAATGATTTTTGCATGACGAAATAAAATAATATTTCATTATATGTTTATCATATATTTTTCATTATAATATATATTATAATTTAAATAAATGAATATATTATGTAGTATCTATATAAAATATATATAAAATATATTATAATATAATAAATTATATATAATATAATTCTTAGACAACATCAGCGGCATTTAATATTTCTGATTCTTTATCTTCTTCCATTGGATTCAATTTACTTACAGAAGCTGGAGAATTTAATTTTGTTTGTTCAGGTGTTAATCGAACTGTTGTACCATGCCGACTATAATCTTCAATTTCCCCTATTGGTCGATCAAAATCTTCTTCTATAACACTTTTTCTGCATCTATTCTTTATTTTAAATTTTTAGAATTAGAAAATTCGATTTAAAATATTTTTTATTTAACTATAAATACATTTTAAAATTATCTACCTGAAGAATTTTGAGAAATTCTTTTCGAAATTCTTTACTACATGAAAAATATATGATAATATGGGCAGCAAAATTACAAAGCTCTGTAACAGCAGCAAATGCTCGAAATAAAAGGCAATCATCATTCATATTTTCATAATCATGATGTAAAAATTCAAGCAATATTGAAGGAATCATTGTTATTATAAAACATATTGCCATTATCGCCATTAATATTGCTAAATGCTGTTCTTCTCTAAAAAAAAAAATATAAGTATTCTGTAAATATTACGCATTTTATTAATAGAACGAAATTTTTTTTTAAATAAAAAAAATTTTTTTGCACGATATTTCAAATTAATCTTTCATTTATGAAAATCTCTACATTTTTTGTTTTTATTTTTGTCTTTGTTTTTACAGTACCTGTATCCTCGATTGCGAGTTAATAGAGAGGTTTCAGGAATATTTGGATTGCGAAATTTTTCAGAAACTGATTGAAATTCTCTTTTTTTAGCATTGAGTTGTAAAAATCTCTTGATTACAAAACTGTTTAGCAAAAGAAGAATTATAGTTGGACAAAGTCGTAATATAATTTCCATCATCCAAATATATACATTCCACAAAACACTTCGTGTAATGGATATATTTTCGCGTAATGTAAAAATTGTCCCAGTATCTTCTTGTTGTTCATATACTGTTCTCATTCCTGTTAAGGGAGCGCTTACCTATAAAATGATTTTAAATAAAATTGGATCTTTGATATGTATAATGATTATTTTTTTCTAAGAAAAAATAAAAAATATCATTTTAATACCGCAAATCCAAGAATGAAAGAACATAGAATGAAAGAATGAATATTCTTGCGTGCATTCCTGCTACGAATACGAGTCGGGAAAAAAATAAAGATATATCGATCGACGATTACGCTGGTCATAATTAAAATGCTGGCTAAAGCAAAGGTGTTTACAGCAACCAATTCCAAATGAGCATGATAAAAAACGGATGGGTAATTATTTTTCATTCCGAATCCTAATCTAATAACTGAAATCAATATTTTTATTGGAATTAATTTAGAATTTTTTTATATTTTACATATATTTTAATATTTTTATCATGATACATACATATAGGTATCCAAGATAAAAGAACACCAATGTGTGCTGATGTTAATCCTCGAAGATATAAGTATGCAATTCCTCGAAACATCGGAGTGGATAACACCAGAAATATTAAAATGTTACCAAAAATACCGCCAATTATAATTGCAGGAATTATTATTCTATAAACGACATGTAATAAAGACGTAGTTTCATTAAAAGCATGTCTGTTTATGTTAATTACATTATTCCAAGTAAAATTTTCATTGTCACAACATAAAAGTGTTCTATAAAATATAATATATAAATATATTTAAAAATAGCAAAATAATTTAGTATATTTAAAATGAATTTGATTAAAATATAAATTTTAAAAAATTGATGAAATTGAAATATTTTAAATTTGAATGAAGATTTTCAATATTTTATCATTATTATTATACTTATTTATTATAAAATAAATCTATTGTATTTTATAACATACCCTCTAAGTATTCCCGTTAACATAATAAATATTTTAATAAAATTATTTTAATAAAAAGCACAATTTAAAAATTATATTATATATATAGTAAATTAAAATCTACTAATATTTATTAATATGTTAAGGATTTTTTCATCTCACTTATGTACATACATGTAATTATAGAACTCTTATTAATGAATACTTGAGTAAAACACAACGGATACACAAGTTCTGCGAGATTTATCCCTGATAAATTTGCTACTGTATTTTCTATAAAAAGTCAATATTGCGCATGCTCTTACAAAGGTTGACTTATTGTTATAATCAAAGTATATTTACTTGTACATAATTATATTCTATTATAAGTTTATATTCCATTTTCTATGAATTAATTTGATTAAAAATGCAATAAAAGGTATATTTCTCATTCGATTAATAATTTTTTTATTTCTATTAAAATAATAAAATATATTATATCGATAATATGAATAATTAAAATATTTAGCTAAGATAGATGAATTCTATCATATTACTAAATAAATTAATGTGAAATGGAAACAAATTTTAAATAAAATTTATGTTCTATGGTTTCTTTTAATTTTCAAATAAAATTTTACCATGAATTTCATACAATATTCTTATGCTTAAACTTTATACAATATAGATTTTTTGATAACAAACAAAATTCAACATCACACAAATTTATTTTTAGCTTAACAACAACAACAAAACTTAAAATTAATTGATTATTTTTATTTGAGATGATATTCATGAGCTTTTATATCATTATGCTAAAGATTTTGATACCGGATAAATTTTGCCTGTTTTTTTTCAAATATTTAGATAATTAAGTATATAAGTTCACATATTATCTTATGAAAATAAATTTTTAATATGATATATTCAATAATTTTGATAAAATTTGCACGTTATGGATTTTCAAGTATTGTTCCATAAAAGAATTCCGTGACAATTTGAAAAATTAAAAAAAATAACATAGTAAAAAATAAGAAATCTCATATAAATGACACATGAAAATTTGAAATGATATATAAAAATCAATAATTAAATAATAAAAAGAAAAATTTATATTTTTAAATACAATCTTAAACAAAAATTATCATTTAATTATGAGCTTTAAATTTTTATCGATATTCCAAAAAAATGAGCAATTATTTCAAGCAGAAAGTACCATAGAAGCATTCTTTACAGTCGATAGAGCATCTATTCACGCGACTAACGAAAATGCAAAACCATGGAATTAAACTTAATAAAGTATTATATATGGATACTAATTTTTATCATACCCGGAAGATATCTTAAGAATATAAAATATATTATTTAAAATTATATTTTCAAAATCTAATAATGAATGAAAGTTATTAGAAATTTTTTCTTTCTATATATATTTAAAAATTTATAAATAAGATAAGATCAAATTGAAGAAAGATTGTTAATTTAATAGAAATATTCTGATTATAATAGAATAGATTATAATAGAATTTTAAAACTTAGAAATATTTTTGACTAAAAATCAAAGTATTCGAAAGATATTGAAAAGAAAAATAGAATTTTCTATTTTATTTTTTTCTATAATTAAAATGCAAAATAAATTGATTTCATTATTGATCATTGAGAAAATTTAATAAAAAAAAAAAATTTCATATCATTATAACTTATAAATCATTTTACTGTTAATATTTTAAAATATCAAAAACAATTTATGTATAGAAAATTTTTTGATAAAAATATATTTTTTTTATTTTTAAATATAATATAGTAATTAAGAATACTAACTTCAGAAAATTAAATAAAAAAATGTACATACATATATATTGAAAAATTACATACGTATTTATATATATCGAAAAAATTTTTGATGTTATTGAGTTCAAAGTTCTTCATCGAAATTCTTTATTTTCGTTACTTTACCGAATATATATATATATATATAAGTTAGAAAATTTTGAGAATACTTTATAGAGAATATTTATTATTATAAAAAATTTATTATTTGAACTTCATTTTAAACTATCATTTAGCTCAATTTTTTGTTTCATTCCATTAAAAACACTTAAAAACAGTTCAATCAGTGTATATATTTGAAATGGGAATTTTTTTAAAATTATTTTTTTCATAAATAGATTTCAACTAGTTTCGTTAACACTTGAAGATCGATAATCTATCTATAAATCCGATGAAATAATGTATTTTTCACTTTTTTGTTAGAGATACAACTAACGTTATGAATTGATGCACATGCGTCGTTATTGCTAATATTCACAACATGGCGCATAATAACATTAAATTCAAACGAATTGCTGTGAATCATACTTAACAAGAGAGGTATGATTTATTGTTAAAAGAAATTTTATAGCAATCACTGCATTAGAAGAAAGAAATTATTACTAAATATATTTTGATCAATATTTTTATAAAATATTTTTATAATTATAAATACATGTGATTTTGTATTCTTTGTCATTTACATTTTTAATTATTTATTAATAGCAAATGATTATTATATTTATTATTCTTATATTTTTTTCAGTTTAAAAAAAAACATTCAGATTTAATAGCACTAAGACTTGAAAAAAATTTGATAACAATTATTGTAACAGAGTAAAAGAATTACTGAACAATGAATCATTTATATGTTCACTAAATTTAAATATAACTATGTTAAAAGAGTATTTTATATTTATAGAATCTTAAATAATTTTAAATGCACATTAAAAATAAAATTTATTAAAAAGAAATAGCATGCATATTATATTTATTATTCTTTCCATATAGAAATAATTTTAATTAAATATCAATCCAATGGAATGACACTTCATACTTCTATTTTCTTTCTTGTGATTTAATAAAATTAATTATGTTATTTAAAATTAATTAATATACTATCGGTTTTATTTAACAATTGTTTCTTTTTATAGTTTACTAATACATATCGTCTATTATATATTGTCTATAAATTTATTTCAAAATAATTATATTTCTGCATAATATTTTTATATTCTTGTAAATATGATTTATGTATGGCATTATGTATCAAACAACTGTTATCAAAACATGTATAATGCGTGTACACGACAAATTTTATTATCTCACTATAATTTTTAGTAAATAAGTAAGTAATGAATAATATAATGAACTTTTTATTTTTTTTGTTGGATGTATTCCGTAATAATTTCGTTGAATCGCAAGAAGATAAACACTAAAAAAATATAACTCAATATTTAATTATTTTTATATATTGCTTTTTAGAAAAAAGCATAATAATTTATAATATATATTAATATTCTGGTTATAACTTAAATTAATTATAACTTAATTATAACTTAAATTATTTTGGCGTTATTTTTTTATTATGAAAAATTTATGTATTTTTTATATTAATATATGTGATTTTTCATAGAATACAAATGACATATATTGAATACTCATTGTTGACATATAGTAAATATATTATTTTTTAATATATAAAAAAATATATATGATATATATAATATATATAATATGATATCTTGTTAATTTATATTTATATTATATATATTTATATTTATAAAATATTAATTATATTTTTTTGTTATTTTTTTGTAACTATATCTAATTATATATTTAAAATAGATAAGTACTTTGTTGAGATGTTTCTTTCATGGTTACCAATAATAATAATTTAATATATAAATATGAAATATTATAAATCTTGAATTATTGCTTTTTTAAATAATTCATAAATATTAAAAATAATATAAAAAATATTAAGAAATAGAATTCAATTATGAAAAATAGCTTGATGTGTATCATTGTTTTTCTTTGTATCTTAATATTTTAACATGTAAAGTTGGTATTATTAAACGTCAATATCGAGAAAATTTAAAACTCAACCGACAAATTAGAAAGAACGAATTTTGTTGAACTTAAATAATTTTTTTATATGTTAATAATATGGCTGAATTTAAAACGCCAACAATAAAAAAGTATAAGACTAGAATAGAAGATAATCCAGAATTGCAAACACCTATTAAAATACCAGCCTCACCGTTTTTACAACAAATAGGTTATGGATGTGGTAAAGAAACATAAATATTTAAAATTATTATTATTAAACATTAATGTTGTTTTAATATATGTTAATAGGAGTTACTGTATTTAGTTTGGAACGATCACCAAAAGTCGGTTTTATTCGTTCACCATGGGCGATAAAAAAACGTAACTCCAAAATTATAGAAGATAAAAAATATAATGAACGTATTCAGTTTGAAGCGGAAATACTTCGTAAATTAAATCATCCAAATATTATTGGTTTTCGAGCTTTTAGTAAACTTCCAAATGGTGAACCATGTTTGGCAATGGAAAAATTGGATGCTTCTTTAGGTAAGAAAAATATCTAGTAATAAATAATTATAATAAATTGCATAAAAAAATTTATCAATTCTTATGCTAATATAATTTTATCAGGTGACAGAATAGAACAAAAACTTGATATTGATGATGATCCATTTCCTGCTAATGATATTTTGAAAATAATGTATGAAATTGCAAAAGGATTAGAATATTTGCATCATATTGCTTATATTTTGCATGGTGATATAAAAAGTTATAATGTATTAATCTCTTCAGATTATAAAATAGTTAAACTATGTGATTTTGGAGTATCTTTACCACTCACAAAAACTTTAGAAGTAGATACTTCAAATGGAAATTTCAACTATGTAGGAACTGAATGTTGGAGTGCTCCAGAAATAATATTTGGTTAATTAATATCTTATATCTATTATAATATTATTACATAAAGTTTACAGTATAATTAATTATAACTTTGACATTTTAGAAGATGGTCCTGTTACAAATAAAGCAGACATTTGGGCATATGGTCTTGTAGTTTGGGAAATGATAGCTTTGTCAGCACCTCACATAGAATCCTCAGAAATGGATGATTCTTATCTAGATGATTCAATGTTGGAAATGAAAATGAAAAACAATATAACAAATGAATATGATACCAATATGGATGATAGCAATAGTTTTCTTAATAAAATAGTCAATACAAAATATGGTAAGTGTTCGAATAATAATGTTCAATAAAATAAAATAATTTTTAAAAATTAGTATATCAGATATAATACCTTAATAATCACAGGTACTCGTCCTTCATTACCTGCTATTAATCTAGGAAAAGAATATGAAAAAGTACTTGAAGTATTTTTTGCATGTACTACTACAGATTATAAAGTTAGGCCTAGTGCAAAAGGTCTTGTTAATTACTTTGAAAATTATGTATTTAATAGTAAAAAGTAATACATTTCCATTTTTAATATTTTTTTTATATAAGAAGTTTTATAATATTTAATTTGACATGATAAAAATTAATTATATACAATTATATATAATTTTTTTTCTAAGTTTTTATTATTTAGATAATAAATATCTTAAATATTATAGAATAAATTTTTTATTATTTCTTTTTAAAATTAAAGTTTTGTTTCTTTTTCTATAAAAAGATGATGATTATCAAGAAAATAATTATTATTATACTAATTATTATACCAAGTTTAATTTTTCTCTAAAAAAAGATAATTGTTTATTAAATGATACAGTATTATTGCTATAAATATTGCTATATACCTTTCTATATCTTTGATTCTTTTTTTCTGCTTTTTTAAGATCAATACGACCAGAATCAATATTATCTGCTGTTTTTCCAGCAAAATATTCCACATTGTTTATTTGTTCTCCCTATAAATAAAATAAAAATTGTTATATACCTATATTTAAAATTCGTTTTTATAGTTATATAATATTTTTTTATTATTTACACTTACTTGTTTCTCAATAAGAAATGCCATTTCTGTAAACATATCTCTAACTTCTGCAAGAGATTTTTCTATTTTTATTATTTCATTATGTCTATTTTGAATATCAGATAATTGTTGCTTTGCAATTTTACTATCTTCTAAAATCTATTTATACAAAATTTATATTTATTTTAATCTTAAAAAAATTAATATTATAAAAGGATAAATTTTTAATTCTTACATTATCAACAAATATATTATTTTCTTGAACATCAAGTAGCTTTTCTAATTCTTCACTTGTAATGTGTTTTCTAACTAAAAAATGAGTAAAAATAATATGAAAATATTTAAATAAAAATATATATGTATTTTTCAATTTTTAGAAAAAACATACTTAACAGTTTTTGTTGATGTAAAAGTAAACGGCATTTTTCATTATATCTCAACATAGAATTATTATATTCTTCCATAATTTGAGAAAATAATTTTAACATTGTTGTATATTGTAATGCTTTAATTCGTATATGTATTGGTCCTTCTCTTGCACTAGTTATGGTTAAATCATCAATGGGAACAACTTCTTTACTCATTTCTATAAAATAGAAATATTTGAACAATTTATAAAAATCAAAACAAAGTAGAACTAAATATATAATTAATTAATTAATTAATTTTTATCATAATTAATTAATTTTTATATATTATATTTATTTTAATTTTTTATAATTCACATTTTGTACATCATATGACATAATAAAAGATGATTTTTTCAGAAAAAAATCCGAAGATAATAGTTTGAAAAAAATCATCACAATATTCTCAAATATATAATATCAATATCAATAGATTTTTATAACATTAAAATTTGATATTTTTGTTTGGAAGGGTAATATTTTACGTTGCATTTTTCAATGAATGCAATTGGTCAGTCAGTTTCCCGCTTTCGAATGGACGCCAAAATCTCTTATACAATTTTTTACAGCTCTTACGAGATGTTTTATGATAAACTGTCAATAAAGTTTTTTGTTGGTTTATACCATAATGAAACATTAAAATTGTTATCGATACGTATTCAAAAAATGATAACCTGAGGCTATAATTTTTCTTTATCAAGTGATAAGTTAAGGTTATGTTTATATTTGTAAGCTAAGGAAATGTGATAATAATTGTAGTTTCGTTTAAAATAATTTAAACTTAATACAATTGTTACTATGGAATCTTTAAAAATATTCGATAATTTTAAATTTAGTGACTTAAATGAAGACTGGATTCAATCTGTGTGGGATGGAGAATTTATGATTTACAATGAACCACCTGATGAGTACCTCATGTTTTTAGAGAGTGAAGACATGAGATTACTTTTACATGAATCTTGTACTATAATACAAACTTGGCTAGAAGAAGGTAAAAATCAGAATAATTCTGAAAATTATTGTTCTGAAATATCGTGGAATACATTAATTACTATGAATATAAAAGTGCATGCTTTATTAGCTGTATTGGGTTATATAATAAAAACTGGTCAAAACAAAGAAACCAATGAAGAAACAAGACAATCATGTCTATATGCAACTAATTTATATTTTGTACTTCTAACCATTCCTGGTAGTAGTGCATTTAATATATTTCATTCTAATTTGTATCAACAAGCTATAGAGACACTTAAAATGGGTTCAGAACAATTACAACCTTCTATTAAGAAACGTAATAAAAGAATATATCTAAATGATTTAAATGTTACTGATGAATTAGTAAATGAAATCAATATTCTTTCACCTCATGAAAAAGAAGTTCTTATAAAAAATTTAAATATTATTATTTGCAGCTTTATTGTAATGATAAAATCATTTTGGTTTAAAGATCATGTGCAGTCATTAGATATTACTATTCATGGATTAGTTGAAATTACAAAGATAGAAGATGATTGCACAGTCATCCAATGTTTTAATAAACAAATAGGTACTTTGGATGTTTCATTGCCACAAAATGCTTATATGGCATTAAAAGAATTATGTAATAATAAACATGGACCTATTGAAATAACTATAACATTTATAGCAAAGTATATATTACCACGTTTATTATGTAGTCATATGGATGCACAAATAAAATTTATTACAAATGTACGTGAACATACCATAAATTTTTTAAAAAATTTATTACATGAATTTGAAAAAGAAGCTAAGACTGCAATTCTAACATTAATACAACATATAATGCTAACATGTCCAGATCGATTTGAAGCTAGACAAAGACAAGCTAATGTATTAGTAAAACTTTTTAGAATATGTAAACAGAATACTGCATTAGAAGCTTTTAAGGATTTAATACTATTATCACATCACTCAAAAATACCTTTTAGATTATTTGCACAAGAAATAATTGGGAAATTGTTACTTGAATCTTTTTCAATGAATTGCAATATAATTGATAGTCTAAAAATCAAAATAAGAAGAATATTCTTTGCAATTATATTGAATAGATGTATGGATTGTTCGTGTATGGTAAGAGGAAAAGCTATGGCAATAATTGCTGAATTTACAGAATCTGATAATGAAATAGATAAAGAAATATTTCAAACTATATTTAAAAAATCTAATACAAATAAACAATTACTTTCATTTCACGACATAAAAGATTCTCTATTTAAGGACATTGATTTATTACCAAGTTCAAATATCTTAATAATTATGTTGATAGAAAGATTAGAAGATGAAAGAGCAATGGTACGACGAAGCTCATTGCAAATCTTGAGAAATTTAATTTTAATGTTTCCATCTTTGATACATGAAGTTTTATCTGTAATAAGTCTTAGATGCAGAGATCCAGTGTTAATAGTACGACGATTTGCTGTACAAGTTTTATCTCAACTTTTACAAGAATTTCCAGATAATTCTCAACTTTTAAATGAATGGGTACGAACTGTTATACCACAAATATTTGACATTGAAATTAAGGTACAAGAAAAAGTGTTAGAATATTTACAAAATCTATTATTAAATAAAATACAAAATACTTCTATAAGTATTGATAACACAGCCAATAATTTGCCATGGAAAATTTTAAATACTATAATTAAAATGAAAATGAGAAAACATTTATCAAAAGCTTGCAATCTATGGATTAAGAATGGTGTTGTTACTAATTCTATAATAAACAATATACAATCTCATATTGGAACAAATAATAACATAGAAGCTTGGGTCTTCTTAGTTGCATTGGCTGAAAATACCAATTTACCAAATATGAACAAATATTTTTCAAATTATCAAGAAATTTTTGCAGAAAATAATTTTTGCACAAGTTTAGTTCTACAAGCTTTAAGATATTCTTGGAAATCATTAAACTGTGAAATTTTAAAACATCTTCATATTTATTTATATGAATGCTTACAACAATTTAAAATTAATTTTGGATTAATTAACATTTGTTTAGATATTATACATAATATAATTCACTATTTAAATTCTGACAAAAATAATAATTTGTTAGAAACAAATATGTTAAACCTCATAAAACTTTCAGAAATAGAAATTGCAAAAATTTTTGAAAGTGAAGATCAAGCTATTGAGGCAGCACCTAATTATTTAAAAGCTATGTTTACATTAGGACATGCAGCAATTTTATGTAGCTGCAAAATTTCACCATTGACATTACGAATTTTGCAAGGAATATTATTAGAATGGGATATATTACCAGAAATAATAAAAAAAATAGAACAACTGCAAGCTTCAGCAGTTGTTATTTTAGGACAACAATCAATAAGAGATCGTGAAATCGCAAAGGAAGTAGTTCCAATATTTGGTAAATTAATGAGACAAGAAATAAATTTAAATTCGCTTGTTCAAATTCCTGTAAGAATAAATGCTGCAAAAGCTTTAGCTGATATTTGTATTAGATTCACTGCTTTAGTTGAACCATATTTACCAGATATGTGTGTAAGTATGAAGGATTCAAATCCACAAGTGCGTGAAACTATCATGGTGATATTTATTCAATTACTTTTGGAAGATTATATAAAAATTAAGGGTCCTTTTTTTTTTCATATATTAACAATGTTATCAGATTCTGATGAGATGATACGTGAATTAACCATTTTTCTTATAGAAGAACGTCTTTTAACAAAAAATAAATCTTTAATATCACAACAATTTTTACAGAGTATATATCATTATAATAATTACCAATCTCAGCATAAAGTTTATCATCTTAAACTCTGTGAAAAAGAAAAAAAAGTTTTAACACTTCCTGGAAGAAAGAATGAAAAAAAACGAAAAGCAATTTATGATTTTATGTTAGATCATTTAGATCCTCCTGGAAAGATAAGATTACTTGTAAAAGTAACTAGTCAAATACTTGGTGGCACTTGTGTTGATTTAATTGATGTTAAAAAAGAAGAAGGAGCATGTGTTTTAAAAGATGCATTATATATAATTAGCAACAATCATTTACGTCCATCATCATTTAACAAACAAAATGATGATGATCAAGGTGAAAGTGAAGAATATACAGTTCAAACAATTACTTCAACTTCTAATGCAATTAGCATTATTATTGAAGGAATAAAAAAACATGGCTTAGAAGTTTTATTACCTATCTTAATAAAGCTTAGAATGAAATTGTCTATTCTAAAATCACCATTAGAAAATGATGTAAAAAAGATTTTAATTAAAACATATTCTGAATATAACAAAGATCAACTAGCAAACATATTAAGTGAATATCCTAAGTTGGAAAAAGAAGTGGAACAATTTAAAAAGTATGTACAAATTTGTTTAGTAATGTATATATTATTATTATTATTCATTAAATAAATATATTTCAGACAAGTAGGAGATATTAGATTTGATGATGACAATTTTACTGAAGAAGAGATCTCTCCATCAGAAATGAATAATCAGAATGCATCTAACAAAAATTTAAATTTAATAAGAAGTAATTTATATCCTAAAGTTGTATTGCAACGTCTTTCACTTTCTGAATTGTTAAATTCTAGAAGTACATCGGTAAATTCTTTTTCACCAATTAGTATTTCAAATGGTTATAATTCTCCAATATGTTCAAATCCAATTTTATATTCACCTTCTCAACCTGGTCCTAGTACAAGCACACCCAAATCATTTAAACATTCTGATTTTGATATAGATAATCATGCTTCAAAAGTTAGAAGACTTTCTAGTTTTTTTCAAAATGAAAATATATTAACTAATATTGATCGTAAAATGAGAAAAAGAAATATTTTTCAAATTCAAGATGATAGTGAGTCTGATTAGAATATGTAAAACAAATTATTTTTGTTTTTTATTTTTATTTATGATGCAGTATATAGAAATATAAGAAAGAATATACCTACCTCTTAATTTTTGTTGAATACGAAATGACGTTTGTGAAATAGTACACATTCGATTTTCCAATTCTTTTTGTATATCTAAAATATATAAATTATTAATTATCAGATAAGCACAACATTTGGTACTTTGATCTTACCTTTATTAGTATATGATAAAACATTATTATGCAAATTCCTTACAATAGCAGTATTTTCAGCAATAAGTTGAATTAAATCTCGAATTCCTTCAACCTATATTAACATTATTTTATATCTATTGCTAATATAAAAGTCTGTGATATTTAGATGATGACTTAAATATTCATATACATGTATATACATACTTTATCTAATACTTCTTTCAATTTTTTATTTTGGTAAATTTGGATATGTACATCTTGTAAAAATCCTTTACCAAATGTAGTGCTATTATTTTGATACTAAAAAGATAAGAAAGGGAAAAAATATTACATTATATATAATTTTTTCAACAGAAAAGTAATAATATTCAAATTTCATATGAAATAGAATTATTTTTAAATATTTACTAATAGATTTTATTATTGATATATTTCATGTGTATTTTATTTACTGTAATGACATGATGTAAGTGATAATTTGAATTTATTGAATAATGAATGATTAAATACTAACAGCACGTAATTCCGGCATTCGATCACGAACCATGATAGTTATTGCTTGAAAATCAGCGTATAACTGATAATTTCGCGAATTCAACATATAAAATTTATTTTCTGTTATCTATCTTATCAGCAGAGATAATTGATAAAATTGATGTTAAAACGTTGACATTATTACTTATAATCGGTTGCATATAATTTATAAAAATAGTTAAAAATATTTGTATATTGTCTTATTCTTTGAATGATTTGACTCACTTCACAGTTATACTATAATACTTGAAAGATATTTTGCATTTGAAATGAAATAGGAAATAAGCACTTAACATCTGGATACAAGGACAGTTTTGAAATGAATTGCAAACCTTTGACTTGTTCTTTCATACATTTTTTTTTATATTTATAACAATGATAATAATGATTTTATAACATTTCATTGTTCTTAAACTATTTTATTTTCTTTTTTCCTATTTTTTTCGATATTAAAAATATTTTTGTTTAAATTTAAAAAAAAATTATTTCATTTAATAAACCTTATTACTGGCCAATAGGATTTATTATTTAAAAATATATTGCAAATAAATGTTTTATATTTAATTATGATTTGATAATAATAAAACAAGTAAAATGTAGACAAAATCTACAAAGAAATTCTGTGATATTAAATAAATAAAAAAAATGTAATATTCATATGACATCGTATTAGCATGTTATAGAGTAAAGTTAATAGTTATGGCAAATTTTGTATGTTATTTACAATTTCCATATTACATTCTTTCTGTTTAATTTTTCAATAAATAAATATAACACTTTGGGAAAACAATAAATGTATTTATTATATTATAAAGTAACATTAAACAGCAATTATAAATATATTTCGTTATATTATTTATTGGTAAATAAAATATTTTAATATCACCATAGAGAACATAAAATATATTTCTTTCTTTTTTCTGTGCGTATCGCATTAACACTAATATAATATATAAATAAATCAACAAAAAGAAATAGATTTAGTATTAAAAAATTATTAAATTTTACTCTTTTTCAAAACAAATCAATCAGTCTTAACTATCAATTAGAACAAAATAATTATATAATTTGAAGGTACATTTATATTACATTTATATAACGAATTCAGTATTAACAAGATATATATTTCTAATATATCTAATGCAAAATCAACTCTGTTGATCTTGTCTCTGAGATGAATGTCGTTTACATTAAAAAATGTTTTTAAAAGATTTTCGATATTGTGATATATTTACACAACAGAAGAATACGTTAAAATATATTTCATCTAAATTTAGATAGAATATGCTTTATACATATCTAAATATACATACAATAAAAATAACAGTTTTAAAAAAATGACGGAGTTTTAAACCACAATTCTGTGATTTTAATATAAATCAATATCTCATTTATTTTTTAGTCTTGTTCATCGCTATGCGATATATGATAAAAATTCATTTATTATTCGTTTATACTTGATTATTTCGTATATAAACTGTTTCTAAAGTATACAAATTAATATATATATTTATTTATCTATTTTTTTTTTTTTTTTTAGAAATACTGATTTCTTTCACTGGTCTACATTCTTTTCTTTTTATTTTTTCATTTTAATTTTTATTAGAGTAGATAAACATGGATTTTGCTAAGATGTTCCTGTACGCGTTCTAATTTTATCTTTTAAATAATTGGCCACTTGTGTTTGTGAATGTCTAATAGCTAATTGAAGAGGCGTGATACCTTCTTGATTTACGAGTAAAGGATCTGCTCCTGCACCTACCAGTTGTCTTGTAACAGTCATTTGTCCCGTTAATGCTGCCGCATGCAATGCACTTTCACCATTCTGAAAAAAATTTTTGTGTAATTTTAAATGAAAATTATGGAAAAAGAAATTACAGGAAATATTTCAAATATTATTATATACATCAATATCCAATATAAAACTGATTTATTATATTTTAAAATATAAATATATTTTTTATGTTTGTTTGTAAACTATTTAAATAATATTTAAATAATTCCTTAACATTATTAACAATAATTTTATTAACTTTCATTAATTACCAATTTATTTTTACATTTTTCTTAGAATTTAAAATTTTAATTTAAGAGAAATACTTTTACTTACTGGAAGAATACCAAGAGATGGACGGTACTTCAGTAGCTCACCTACAACAGCGGCATGGCCCTTATGAGCCGCCTTAAATAGTGGAGTCGCGCCATCCTATAAAGAAAAAACACTCAGACTAGCTATTCTTTTGAAATGTCGATCCTAACTTCTTCTCTTTGTACGATTATTCTCGACTTACATGTCTGGTGGCATCGACCTTCGCACCAGCTTTCAAAAGCCTCCTCACGACATGATCGTGTCCCATTTGCGCTCCTATCCATAAAGGCGTGGCACCATCGGTTCTTGCAGCATCCGTTTTTGCTCCGTGCTCCAAAAGAACTTCTAAGATACGCACGTGACCATTTTGAGCAGCAATAAATAACGCTGTGGCACCATCCTATACAGATTTTATATCTTTTAATTTAATATTTTTTAATCACATATTAAGAATAATTTTTCTAAATTATTAAGCGAATATAATATTTATCATAAAATTTGAATTATCTCACCTTCATATAAGCATTCGGATTGGCGCCTCTTTCAATCAAACCTTCTACAACATCTAGGTGACCGCACTGGCACGCGACGAAAAGTGGGGTACCGCCATCCTGCAATCGCAACCAGAAATTGTCGATCGTTTCAATTTCACCTGGTTACACGATACTTTTTATTTTGTTCCAACTTACTATGCTACAAGAATCGACGATAGCACCTTGTTCCAATAGAAGACTGGCGATATCCATATAACCACCTTGAGCGGCGAAAAATAATGCCGTAGTACCTGTCTAAAAATAAAAATTAATAAAGTTAAAAAATTTTAATGAAATGAACCAAGAAAATTGTACGAAGTGCCAGAAAATTTTTTGGATTTTATGACAAAACGGAAAAAAAAAAACGAATGATTATTTCCTAAAAAATTATTATACTATTTTTATAAATATATATAATAGAAAAGAATACAAAACAAACTTATAAATACTTTCGCCTCTGTTTCATATTAATTAAAAATAAAAAAGTCGGCTAGAAATCACGAAAGAAGAAATATAAAATATAAATTTAGCTTCTTTCTTAAGAGAAAGTAATATTGTTTTTAATTCTTAAAATATTTAAAATATCGATTAAAAAGAGAATGATAATTTTTTAAAAAGTATATTAATTATTAAAAAAAAGAGAGAAAGCAAAAGATAGAAATTATAAAAGAAGCAATAAAACAATTTGTTTCGAAAATAATAGAATTATATAAATTTGAGATGAATATTAATATATTAAAAAATTTAATTATAAAATATAAAAAAGATAAACATAAAAAGAAAAACTTAAAATAATTATTTTAAATATCGAATATTAAATATTGTCGAATAATTAATAGTCATTCATCTATTTAAATATCATATTCTTCTTAAATTCCATAATCACTTATTTGAATGTTTTATGAATTTAATATTTTATAATTCTAGTATCATTTATATTTCAATCTGTATAAAATTCAAACTGAATTACAATTATCGAAGAAAATTTATTCTATAACATCTTGCAGATAATTGACAGTAAGAACGACATCCTGTCGCCTTTATGGCGACATAGTATCTATTATAATATGTTAGAGATATCCTTTTGTGTCTGTGAAGAATCAATACTTTATATGTAGTTTACTTAATGTCTTGAGAAAGAATTGATGTATTATCATTTGAACTCTTTCCTCATTATAATAGAATATTTCGATTATTGTGATGTAAAATTCCAACATCGTAATAGTTTACAATGAGTGAGTGAAGTATGGTATGAGAAATGAATACATCAATTATAAATGTAAAATATTATCGATAAAATATTATAGTTCTAACATTATGATTCTAATTGTACAAGTTCAATAAGTTCTAGACAATTGATTGATTTAAGTATAAATAACATTCAATATTAGTCTTTTCAATGTTAAATTTTATTGAAACTTATAATGAATCGGGTTCCAAGTAATTGAATAAAAAGAGAGCGATTTCGAATTGAATATCTATCCATCGGTAAAGGAGAGAAAGTACTGGTGTGTGTTTCGAATATCCACGAAAGGAACAACGTATGTCCAGGCCAATGCAAGTCAAACCTGTTCAAGTATCAACTATATATATACTTTCACTGATATTTGTTTCAAAGCATTGATGATCAGTTTGAAAAAAAAACTCCCAATTCATTCAAATCGAGCTATGCTTTTTTTATAAAATATGTAATTTATTTATTGTCGATATTATAATGTTCTCTAGTGCATATATATATATATATACGTTCCGATATTTCTTCAACCATATCAAGCTGGGAGATACAATACCTATCCATTACAAACCGCAGAAATTCTATAATGACGATCAACCTGTCTATCTAGTCATAAATAGATGCCATCGTGATCGAATATATTTTTTTTCATTTAACTTATATCGTCTTCAAAAGCATACGGTATAAAAGACTCTTTCTTTTCAATTCTCGATAATTTATGACTGAATTGAAAATAACCTTATAATAATAATCTATTGATAAATATTTAAAAAAAATTAAAAAACCAATTTTAATTGCGATTAATTATCATATTAATTTAAAAAATTTTGAATATATAATTCGATAAGAATCAATGATTTGCAAGAAATCACTGGACGATAATTTGAAACAAATTCTATGATATATGACGCATATATGTCGAATATGAAGTGGAACGACATAAAAAGTTAAAATTATTTTCCCTCTTCTCTTAGTTTAATTAATTTGTTGGATCGTAGACAAACGTGATAATTAGAGACAAATGGTGCATGGTACCTATAGTGTTGCACTCTGGTCCCCATTAAATAATCGTATCAATTAATGCTTACCGTTCAAAACGGAGAGGATGCTCGGATGGATGACGACCATCGCCGATTTATAATGAACTTGTTACTTCCTGTGAGCAATCTGCTTTCCAGCATACGCTATTTTAACGTTTTATGCGATATAATACGTTTTCTGTGTGCTACGAGAATTGTTTATTTGAAATTCTTATGAAACTTCTTAGTAAAGTTTGGAAAATTTATATCAAGTCAATACTATGAAATTCTGAAATCCTTTTACAAAGTAAAACATATTGTTTTCTTATTAATATTTTATTTTTACCGTAATTGTATATGTAAATAAATACCTGGAATTGAACATTTTCCATTTTTTTTTTTTTTATAAAAATTTGTCAGTTTCTTGAACGATAAAAATAATATACCATTTTAATGTTACTATTTATGATTCAAGTATGACATAGACATTTAAAGTAATACAAATAAGATAAGATTTCGATAAGTCAGATATTAGATAGAAGGTTTTACTTTCGAAAAACGTTCTTAAGCTGAAACTTAAATTAAGAAAAAGATATT